TGGTACTATAGCATGCCCAAGCACTGTACACTATGAGGCCTTCACAGAGAAAGCTCATCAGTCGGCATCTTCGTTATTATTTACACGAATATGAATGCAGTTTTGTTCCATTTAGAGAATTAACTGTTAAAGTCTGTGTTTCTGGTTGCTGCAGAAGGCGGAGCTGATGTTTGCTTCAGTGGAGCTGGCTGAGCTTGAAGTCAAACAGGGAGAATTTTGCTCAGAGCAATTCATTCTTTGAAGAAAGAAAAGTTGCTAACGTGGCTTTTATTTTCATCTTTCATTTCCTTCTCTGCATAGCTTCACTAGATTTGCATATTTTCTTTTACACAGAACATCAATTGCTTGTAACTGCTCTGTAGCCTGTTACTGATGATGGCTTGATGATGTGCTGGATTGCAGTCTTGCTTCACCTGCTCTGTGGCCTCCAGGACTTCCTTGGCATGGAAGTGTCATGACAAACCAGTTTCTCTCCATTTATCTTAATGAATGTTTCACTGGGGTGACTATTTAGTAGATAACATTATGCTGACTGACACCAAATAGCTGGAAGGCACTTTTTTGTAAATTTCACAAGAGACTGCAATGTAAATCAGCTGCAAGGCTCCTTTAAAATTCACAGACCTATGGCCACCCTGAACTCAGAGCACTATAAAATTCAAAAGACAGCTTCTCTTCACATTCAGATATATCCTTACAAAAAGAATATCTATATATGTAGTATGAAAAAAATATGCATGTTGATCAAAGGGGGCATGTGAGATGCTTCAATTATTCAAATAAAAAGTTTCAGGTAAATAATGGAATAAAAACACAGATATCAATAACTGACTCTAAGCAATTTTTTTTTTAAAGCCCACATTTTCTTCATAAAATCTTACCATCCATCCTTCCATTTTTTTCTGCTTATTCAGTTCATGGCTGGGGTGAGCGTGGGGTAGGGGGGCACCGAAGCCTATCCCAGCTATGATAGGGCGAGAGGGCAGGGTACATGCTTGAACAGGCTGCCACCTTATCACAGGGCTAACATGCAGAGACAGAGAACCATTCACACTCAAATTCACACCTATAGCTAATTTAGAATCACCAATTAAACTAACCCCATGCATGTGTTTGCCTGTGGAAGAAAGCAGGTGAAAACCATGTTGAACATGCAAGGCAGAACGGCAGCAGCATGGGTTCAAGCCCAGGACTTTCTTGCTGTGAGGCGACAGTGCTCAACACTGTGAGTGCTAACCCGGCCATACCAAGAGTAAACAAGACAATAAACAAAGACAAAGCAAATATAGAGAAATATTGGTCTTTAGAGCCTTATATGCATATAGCAGTAAGCAAAAGTCTCAAGCCTCCCTTTATTTCTTCTTCATTTCAATCATTTTGAATTTATCTTGTCATTTTTTAAAGTGGTCTTAAGCAATATTCTTCAGGATTTCTGAAAGTTATTCTAGGTTTTGGTTTTGTTTGTTTGCTTGTTTTTCTGTGGACATTGGCTATTATTTGCTCAGTTTCAGTCTAGTTCACACATCCAAACATTTTTTTTGTTTGTTTGTTTGCCACACTGACCTATGAGTGAATAAAAAAAAGCACCTATCTCAAGCGATGAACCAATTTAAAGAACTGTCTTTAGACATTTTGTGTCTAGCAGCCTGTTTCAAATCACATATTTATATAAAACCCATTTTGCAAGCAATGTTTTTTGTGTGCAGGTGACTTAAATACATCATTAAGAACAATGATTTAAACAATTTCAGCATTTCATTCTGCTCTATACAACTGTAGCTGCATCATTTTAATGTAATGTAATTATAATTATAGTAGCTGTTCTGGAACGACATCACTAAAAATTGCTTGTTAAACTGGAACTGTTTTTATATCAATTGATTGGTACCAAAAATTGGATTCTTTTAGCTTTCTTCTGTTTCTGACAACGCAGTCCAAAAGTAAAATTATTACAGGCCAAATCAATACAGCCTTCAGATCCTCTGAGACCACCGTGTCGCAGGTGTTTTTCGTGGGGACAGAGGTCCCACTAGCCATCCTTTGCACACAGCTGCAGGCTACATGTTGATTGGAGAGCAGCTCAAAAATCTGTAGCTAATGGCTAAAGAGTGGCGGACTAATGCTGAAAGCAGCCAATTTCAAGACAGGTGGGGGGACTGAGTACATCTCAGCAGAGTGCAAAGAATTGCCTGTTTGTTTCATTTACCACCAGCCTTACCAAACTGGCACATGTGCTCTTTAACACAGGAGTGAGCACAGAGAGAGAGGGGAAGAGAGAAAGTGGGAGCTAGTAGTAAGGCATGACTCAGGCTGGGAATGAAAGCTGTGAGTGTGACTTAATGGATCATAGTAATATCCTGAATATGAGTCTGCAGGGATCACACACATGCAGGAGGCTGTAATAGCCCTCTGAGAATTACTGCATGTGCAACAGAGCACAGCATGAAAACCTTGCTTGTTTTTCAGGCCTGGCTCTAAGTTACTTTCCTGTTAGTGGTGTACATGCAAACTCACACTAGACACATTAATCTAGTGTTTTGCTTTTGATGTGTTAGATGCACGTAATTTAGTTTTCCAGTTTATTCCTTATTAGGGTGTGATGGAGCTACAGGCTGTGTTTAGCACGTGTTGATGTTTACACTTCATGCTCGTCTGGCTGCGTACCATGTATCTTGAATCTCTTTTTAACTAATGTGGCATCTTTCACTTTAACCTTTTGTCAAACATGTAAATACCACTAATCAATTCCCCTTAGTGAAGATCAACAAATCGTTCCATTTTCCCTGCTTGGGATAACACACTTACTCCGGCCACAGATGGAGAAATTGATGTCTGGATCAAAGGAAAGGTCACTGGTTACTGGGGAGAATATATTAAGCCGCGATATCTACAGTCAATACATCATCATAAAAATCCCAATTTTTCTATGCCTATGGTTTTTAGTAGGAAGTCCATATAATTGTGTACTTTGTAACTCAGAAAGGAAAAAGACACTTTAAGCAACTTCCTTTGGAACAAAGTGGAAGAGCAAATGTAGTCTCAGCGCTGCAGACATATCTTTTGACTTACCGCAGTCATTTATGTGCACCACCAAGGGGCATTGCTTCTGCTGACTTTGAACAAAATGTGCATTTATAAAACCTGCCCTCATCATGATTAATTAAGCGTAACTGAATGTCCTCTTCTAAGACTGATTAAAATTTTGAGTGAAGAGCGACTCCCTGAAGCAGAATAACGCTCAAAGGTACAAGAAAACTTTATTAAGAGAGTATCATCGCTTTCTTCTTTACCTCAGGAGCCTGCAAAACACACACTAACAAAAAATAGACATATTTTACTGCTTAATACCATTTAAACCATTTTAAACTAATTTTTTTTTTGCAGTTACTTAAACTTCTTTCACCTTTGCTGGATATATAAAATGTGCTAAAATGTGAGGTGATAGTTTTTGAACATGTTGAGGATATTTTAATGCACCATCATAAAAAGAGAGTTTGCTTGCTGCTGCTGCTCCTTTCAGAGTTTTGCTAAGACGGGGTTTCCATTCGTAAGTTTGGTCTGCTCGTCATACTTCCTCCCCACAGAGAGAAGTGCTGTTCTCTAAGATTAGACCGTTTCTTTTTCTGCGTAATTGCCTCCTTTGGTTTCTCAGGTTCCACAGAGAAGGGAACAATTTGTCAGACAAACAGACTTTGCTCTTTCTTCTAATATACTTGCACTATCTATCACAAATGTAGTGTCCCCTCTGGTGCAAATTTAGAGCTTCACGAGGCATGAAATGAGGTTAGATTCTATTTTGAGCTCAGGGTTTGGGCATGGTGAGACACAAACGCTGGAGCAGGTTGGAGAAAGCGCAGTTTATGCGCATATACAGATTCGCTGCTCGCTGTAACAGGACAGCTGGAAGGGGTGGGCGAGGTGTGGCTTTACTGTGAGAATGACTCCTTTCAACTCTCTGGAAGCTGAGGGGAAAGATGGAAATAGTTATGCAGATGCACTGTCTCACCTGCCCAGCTGCCTATGGATGAATGCAGCTTGCACACTAGCTTATAACTCCTAAACGACAGCTAAAGATTTCCTTTCCACATTAGTGTTCAACAAATGATGGAAGGCGTAAATGCAGTAAATGCAGTTTTCAATCAACAAAGCAAAAAATAGACATAGTGTACTTATCCTTAGGTTGCATCAATGTAGGGACCAGACTTTGATATCAGCTGATATCATCCCTGTTCATATAGATCTATCTGCAAATGACAATTTACAGACTTTGTCATTTCACCAATTTGTTGTTGGAAACATGTTCAAAGCTGCTGTGATGAAGAACTGACGCAAGAACCAACAAAAATGGGGGAAAAAACTGGCATTGGCAACTCTCCATTACATTTTGCACGTCAGCAGTGATGTCGCCCCAGAATTGGTGCAGTCCAACTTTTTTTTGATTGATTTTTATCCTGCCACAGCATAAAAAACACCCCGACACTGCCAGACACTAAAATAGAGGCGACTGAAGATGTTGTGACCGCCACGACAGTATTGACATTGAAGACATTATTTCATCTATTAAGTTGTCCAAACCCACCTGGCCATATGTTCAATTCAATTCAATTTTATTTATATAGCACCAAATTACAACAGCAGTCACCTCAAGGTGCTTTATATTGTACAGTAGATCCTACAATAATACATACAGAGAAAAACCCAACATTCATATGACCCCCTATGAGCAAGCACTTTGGCGACAGTGGGAAGGAAAAACTCCCTTTTAACAGGAAGAAACCTCTGGCAGAACCAGCTCAGGGAGGGGCGGGGCCATCTGCTGCAACCGGTTGGGGTAAGAGAAGGAAAACAGGATAAAGACATGCTGTGGAAGAGAGACAGAGATTAGTAACAGGTACGATTCAATGCAGAGAGGTCTATTAACACATAGTGAGTGAGAAAGGTGACTGGAAAGGAAAAACTAAATGCATCATGGGAATCCCCCGGCAGCCTACGTCTATTGCAGCATAACTAAGGGAGGATTCAGGGTCACCTGGTCCAGCCCTAACTATATGCTTTAGCAAAAAGGAAAGTTTAAGCCTAATCTTAAAAGTAGAGATAGAGATGTGAAAAAGTAACTGTCCCCTAAGCCTAATAACTGGTTGTCCTAACCTTGGCCCAGTCTTTTTTGCTGAATTGTTTGAATTCAGTCACATTGAAGGGTTTTTGAGGATGGACGACTTGTTTAAGGTCATATCAAAGCAACTCAATCACATTTAAGGCCCGCCTCCCAAGCCTTCTATGTTTTGAACCATTCACAGGTGGACTTGCTGGTTTGTTTTGGATCATTATAATATATATTTATATATACCATCTCATTAATCCAGTGTGATAAGGTGCTTGGAGAGATAGACTTCCAGTTTAAAAGAATAAGCCACTTGGCATCATTCTTAGATGCAGAGCAATGCAGGTTTTGATCAGATTTAGTCAGTCTTCATTTTTATGTAGAAGTCTTGTCCACAGATGAGTAAAACGGGTTTAAGGTTTTGTCTTAGAATTTTGAAAGGTACTCTGGGAAAGTCAATAATTAGCTGGAAAAAATGAATAAATGAAAACAGATTTTTTATATTTTATTCTCTGTGCCAAGTGGAACGGGTCGTGATCATGCTCAGTCAAAGGAGAACATCTGTTTACAGATTCACTATTAAATTTCTGCCTGTTCACATACGAAGTCATCCACAAAGAAGCATAAATGGGTAACAGGAAATGAGAGGGCAGCAGAGCAGTGCTTGGGTAAACACTGGGTACCCTGCACAGCTTCTTCTGTGAACTATTCTTCTTCTTTAGTGCATTCATTATTAAAACACTGCTACATGTTTTAGTGATATGCATAACATAGAACACACTATAAAAAACCTAGATACCCAGAGGACTTTAAAATCATGACATATTTATTATTTTATTATGTAAATGGTCTAACAGTGGAGCATGTACAGTATTTATGAGTTTGAAGCAACTATTAGATCGTTGTGGTGCAAATGTCAAAATCTGGCATGTTGCTACAGTGGGATTGTTGGCATGCGCAGTGGGCTTTGCTACAATTCTGGGTATTTAAGAATCTATAACAGTGCAGTCTTACAAATTACCTAAGCAGCAGAGGCATTGTGTCTGCAGGAGTACCAGCAGTTAACAGCAAATTACCCCGCTCGGCTCTCAGTCAGCCAAAGAGACTGAGAAATGAAGAGTAAAAAGAACTGGCTCACTATTCAGTCCGAGAGACATTTCTGACAGTTTGTCCTTATTTAAAACAAGGTATGTGTATTTTTAACACAGTTTTTTGGCCTGATTCTGTTGGAATATATCAGGAACACATTTTTTATTTTGGTCCAACATGATCTAATTGGGCTACAGCCAAAAGTTTCAAATTGCTGTCCCCGCGCAAAACAATGTCCCTACTGTCTTTCAACAAAACATACGTTGACTCGAATGTTTCTAGTCTTACATTGCGCCCAAGTGCTGCAAGCAAAAGCTCCCCTGAACAAGTGTATTTTTGGCTTTTTACCATCTCCAGTACAGTAGATGCAGCTCCTCTTGCGTAACATCGCATCCATAATTGAGGAGGACGCATAGATCATCACACACCTGCTCCTGAAGTCCAGCTTGTGCTTATTGAACGGGTGGCGCTGCAGTTCAGCTACTGAAGAAACACTTTGAAGATGGGGAAAAAAAAGAAAGAAAATCCAATCTTGTCTCTGCTCTCAGTGTCATCCAAAGTGGTGCAGATTACTGCAGAGAAGTGGTGGATGCAGAGGAGTAAATGAGTGTGCAGGTCCAGTGGGTTTTGACATAGTATAGTGTTAGGATTTGGTGCTTCATGCAGAGGGACTCAGAGAGAGGAGAGAGTTTCAAATGTATTGCATGCATGTGCGGTGTAGCTGTATAGCTGTCGTTGTTGGTGCTTGTGTTTTAAAGAATTAATCCTGATGACAACAGCCCAAACTGAAGTACAGCTGTAGTGCTCGGTTCTCAGTGCTCGCTCTTCCTTGTAATGGAAATCCTGCCAGTTGAATGCCAAATCCGTTCTGCTGTCAGCCCTTTCTTCTTCTCACTCCTTTTATCTGCTCTTAATTAGAAGTTGGGAAATGATGACTCCTACCTCTGCGTAATTAATCCAGGGTCTGCTGTGGCTCTGCACAGTGCATCATTGTCTGCGCTGGCCACAGAAGAGCAGTGCCTGGGAGCCGGAAGAGCAAAGTGTAAATGGGGTTGTGCAAGTAATTAGGAGGCTTATTTTGGGCAGCTTGATATACAAGATGAATACAGATGGCAGCTCGTAACACTGATACACACAAACACAACGGTTCAGTAACTTCTCCAAACCACAACATGTTGATACATTGGACTTGTGTTTCCATTCACTCTGCTCATTGCCTTTAGACATCATTAAAAAAACTGGTGCCTCATTAAAAACAAGACTGGAATTTAATCTTGATGCTTGGCACAGATGTAAGAGTCAAGAGTGAAAGTGTGGAAAACTTAGAAAGGAAGAAGTTCCTTCTATATATCAGTCCTGTGGTTTTAGGGAGCAGTGTTATATCTAGTTATAAAAGTCCTGGACTGGGTAATATCCTGCGGCCTCTTTTCTCACCTCTTTCCATTTCTCGGTCACATTAAACAAAGATTCCTTTAATTTTCTGCCGGTTTTGCATGATCACCACATTATTCTCCCCAGTGCTCACTTTCTTATTACAGTCAGGCCTAAAAGTGCCGTAAAATCCAGCAATGACTCGGAGAAGTTAGTTACATACATGGAAGAGAAGTATGTCTCAAAAAAATTGAGGAAAACTTTCAAGCTGGTTGCAAAACAACTAACACAGTTGTATTTTTTTTATCATCTTTGGAATATTTTTTTAAAAATCCAATCTTTTTTGAAACACTTAGAGACACGAACGTGCTCGTACGTGCTTTTATTTTTTCGCGCCTTAGCAGAAAATCTGTTGAACGACTGCAGCTGGCAGGCTTTTAACTAGAACAAAGAGATGGTATTACATCACTGCCCCTCCCATTTTGGTGTTTTTACGCTGTCTGCCAGTTTGTTTCCGAATCAATTTTAATACATTGATTATCTTTGAGACCCTACGTGGCCTTGCTCCCAGCTACACGCCTGACCTCTTAGCACCATATGCACTTTTGTTTTATTCTGTTGCTCTTGTAAAGCACTTTGTCACATGGATTTTGAAAGTGCTATATAAATAAAGTCATTATTATTATTTTTATTTATTAATTTGTTTTAATGGATCAAACAGCTATGTACTCTATAAACTGCAAAATTTAGATTTTATATAAAAGATAGTTGTAGTCACCCTGACATCACCCACTGGCGGTCTAATATGTTAATCTAGCATAGAAACATATGAGAAACGTGTTTACTGAGGCAATAAAGTGAGATCTAATGTGCTTTCTAACAAAAAATACATAAAACTGTGCTTTCGCAACCAGATAAGTGCTCTTTGCTGCATATTAGAAGGAATGCAGGTTCAAGCCGCTTGCACATCGTCATTGCATTTCATTGCAGACCTGGAATTGACCTTTTTTTGTACTAGCCATGCAGACTATCTGCCTAAAAATAAGAGGAAAACTAAAGTATCAACCAACTAATAAACATGGTTAAAAAGTTATTTTCCTTAGGATAAGAGAGGTAAAAGGAAAGGATGCACTTTTAGAAGTGGAATCACAAAATAATAAATATATTTGTGTATGTACTAAAATATTGCAAGAGTTTTGAAAACCTTCTTTTGTGAGTATAGTGGCCTAAAGATAATACTGTAGATAAATATATTACATGTGGAGGTATATTTTTAGCCAGCTTCCAGGAGCAGGACCACAGTTAATACTGTCATAAATCTATAAATGCCTACTTGTCCTGCACACCTGCTTAATCTCAGTTTAGAGTTTCCTACCTTCCCCCTCCCTGACTCTTTTTTTCTTTCTCATGGGGGGATTCCCAGCAACACTTGGCAGCTGCATGCATCATTTCTCAGCATCACACTAAAGTCTGCTTCAAAGATCAGCTGTGTGCAAGCATTAAGGCTTTATCAGTGGAAAAACATGCAGTAATGTGTGTCATCTACACCAAAAACAAGGTAATTATCCAATAAGCAGAAAATGCGAAACGAGCCCGTTTACCGCCAGCAATCAAAACAAAGGGCAGCGAATCTGCTGAACACTGTTGAGAGCACACTATCTACACACTCTGTGCAGTTTCTCCAGGGTCAGCGCTCCTCTCATCTGCATTAGTGAGTCACGTTAACCAGAGGCACACAGCAAAGAGCTGATGACTCATTTTCAAGTTCTAATTTGTGTTTGTTTTAAACCTGATACTTTGTCCCCGGGAATAAACACCGATGTTGATAAATTGCATGAAGTATTTCAGCATGATAAAGGGACAGCTTTTAAAGGTCATAGCTGATTATGATCACTTTAAGTAAGCGAATAGTAATATTGTGCTTGAGTGTGCTAAACTGATGTGTTGCTGCAGATATACGGTCAGTATTTAACTGTTTGTTAGAAATGGATACAACTTTGTTGATCATTAACATCGGGCTGTGAGACTGCATCATTGCAATCAAGACTGTGTGAAGGGACCGGTTCTTATAAAGCGCTTTTCTACTCTACTTGAGCACTTTTATACAACGTGTCTCATCCACTCATTCATAAGAATTTTTTTCCTATCTAACATTCACACACATTCATACGTAGAGCATCCTGGGGTTCAGTATCTGCACAGGTTCTCCTAGTTTTGAGAGCACAGTTACATCAAACCTTATTATACAGATTAAAAATACAGTATTTCATAATGGATCTGTAGTTTTTATTTGGCAGCATTGCTGATTTACAAGCAACTTAAAAATGCCCAACGACTGAACCAGTTATTGACTGACCTTAGCGTGGCATTGACACACTCGGCATCGCTTTACCATACCAGAGGGCGTTATATGTTTGGATTACATACGGTCCAGATACAAGACTTTGCTGGTAGCAAAGATGCACAAAGCCATGGCCATATAGTTTATGGTGCATGATTATCCACAAAACTAAAGAACCTTTTAAAAAATGCACTATTATCTATTTTCTGGCACTGTAATCATGCAAAATCTGCGTACACCTCTTTCCTATTTACCTATTTAATGTGTCTGGAAGTTATTTGTTATATATGTTAATGTATTTGTGACTGAAGCTTTCTTTGTAACAGAGAGAGAGCTGCAGTTTTATTGCACAAATGTCAGTGATATACTCTTGAAACTTGAAGTCCAGCCACTCCCAGCCACAGGTTCATCTGGCTTAGACTTTACTCTTAAAGAGAAACTGGTCCGTACCATCACTGCTGTTGATCTCAGCATACAGTATGACACTTGAATGCATGTATTGTGGTCTTTTGCAAGGGAAAGAACAGCTATGAATGCTGCAAGGTCTGGTAAACAGACTCATTTGGCACAATGTTCATGTATCAGCTGGTCTTAGCTGTGCTTTCTGTTGTCTTTAAAAGATGGCGGACAGTTAGTGCTCTGGGGCTGGAGGGTTGTAATCGTGCAGCCCGGGGGGAAGCAGGGATAAAACATTACAGTGAAAGCACAAGGAAGCTGTTGCAGCTGACGGATAATTTTTCATGCTAACACTGTACATCACTATTCACAATGAAGCAGCTTCGCTCTTTGTCACTTTTCTCAATCCCAGGATTAATGGACTTGTTTGACATTTTGGGAAATTTGCATACTTTTTTTTCACCTAGGCATAAAACCCCACATTTTCCTGCCTCTGTGTTTTGTACAGATTTGTTTACACAGACATCCGTTTGGGTAATCCTCTTACCTGACTCTTAGGAAGAATGCGAGTAAGCACATTTCACCAAATGTCAAACTGTTCCTTCCAGTGTTACCTGATGATACTCAATGTGCAAGCTACTTGTGAATGTGTGAGACAGACTTGCTTCCTAAGAGAGGAACAAAAGCCACGAAAAGCCTGAACAGATCTGTCAGAGAAAAAGAGCGTGCTTTGGAAGAATAGCAACAATAAAGACTAACGGGATGAATCTATTTCTATATCTAGATGATAGAGACCTCCTATACACCCTGCATAACGTGTGATAGGCCACGGGCTATGATAGGCCAGTCTCTGCAAGAGAAAATGATCACCGCTTATCACTGGAAAAACATTTGACATCTGATTCCTTTTGTCTAAAATTGTTCAGAGGGGAATAATCATCAGTGAGCACTGCACAGGCAGCGCCTTTAATCTGTTTTGAAAGCGATATTTTGGTTTTATGGCCTGCTTAGAACGAGATCTAATTACCGTATTACAAGTTTGGACTTCAACCAGCCGAAAGGTTCAAATTAAATAGAAGGATGGCGGTGGTAAACTGAAATAGATAAGATTATACAGATGTAATACCACATCAGAATCGCACTTATAAGGAGCATGCTGCTGTCAAGGCAAGTCTCTCAATCTCCTCTTCCATCTCACAGATTATTGGCACGCTCGCAGGAGTATCACTAATGAGTGAGTGTAAGCAGTTGATTTTCTGTGGACTCTAGAAGCTATGAGCCACCAGACATCCAGCTATCTCCCTGGTTCCTCAATGAGTTTCTCAGTGATGAACGATAACCCAATGTAAGCTTTGAAAACTCCCCAGATGACTGGTTTTTATGAGTGTTGCTGTGCTTTAAAGTCTCAGTGCAGTATATTAATACATAATTGAAAGAAAATGATCTGTACTGTGATTAAAGCAATATCAGTGCATCTCAGTTGTCTTTAAAACATGCAGAAAGATTCAGTTTTATCCAAAGTCTGCACAGGGGGATTAAAAAAGTATCTTCCTTGATTTGGTTCAGATGGTTTCATCTGAACTGAAACTTTTTGGTGTCTTCCAAGAAAGTCAATTTTCTGTGAGAAACACTCTTCTATAGCATAATGGGAGGATTTAAGTATTAAATTAAGAGGTCTGTAATGGGGCTATAGTTGGATGGTGAGAGATGCGATAGCCGAGGGAGTGAATCTTCCCCGTGCATGTCACTATAAGTCATTATTATAGCCTTCCAGCCCTCAGCGCACAAAGTATCCAACGCTGGGTCAGGAAATCAGGCAATTAAAGGAGCTGCGGACGTGGATCAGAACTGACAGCCAATGGGGGAGCGCAGAAGGAGCCAGGAAGGCTTAAACCTCCTCTACCCTCAGGGAACTGACTGGTCCACATCTCTCAGCCCACTACATGTACAGAGCAGCTACTTAATCAGATTGCTTATTCAAATCAAAGAAAGCAAAAGCCTCCATTTGCCCAAGAATCACACCGTCATTTAAAACCAGTACTCTGACAGATCAGTTCACAGGATGAAAACTGTGTTGAGAATTTGCTGCTATTATTGTTTCCTGATCAAGAATAAATATGGTAACATTTAATGAAATGTGCAAAAGTCTCACGCCTTAATTTCTTTAGATTTTGTTTCCAAGGAATCAGACTATCTTGTAACTTTTTAAAGTGGCCATGAGCAATAGGTCTCCAAGCTTATAGAGGGTTTTTTCCACATTTTTCCTTTGGACATTGGCTACTTTTCACTCATTTCAGTCTAATTCTTGTACCTGACCATTTTCAGAGGAATTTGAGTTTTGTTTTCCTTCGTTAAACAACTTAACACTGACCTATGAATCCCTCAAGCATGGAAAAAGTAACTCAAAGGACGGACCAATCTTGTGTCTACACCTAACAGACAACTTAGCAAAGAACCAATGTTAAATTGTATATTTAAATACCTGCAAACAAGCATGTTTATTTAGTGAAGCCTATGAAAAATGACAAAGATAAGACAGTTTAACGGGCATGAAGGAGAGTCCTAAAGAATGATATTAGCGAAAAGCTTCATATATTGGCGTGCCATGTGGACAAAGGAGAAATAGCAGATGAACAGTATCTAAAATGAACTCAAGAAATACGTGGGACACCTCCAGGGATCTGCTATTCAGTTGATCCATCTACTGTTTGCTGAAGCTTCGTCAGAAATGGTCTTGAGTCGTTCTTAAGGAAGGAAATCAGGGAGAAAAGGGCGAGGTATTGCAAATTACACAAGAACTGGATGGAAATAACAGTCTTGTGGAGTGATGAATACCAATATGAAATTTCTGGCTCAAACATTTGTTAGTATGTATGGTAGATTTTTCCACAACACTAAATGGAACACCACCTCGAAAGCATTTAATGGGCAACAGCTTAAATTTTCAGCATGGCAATGATCCCTAACATACTGCCAATGCAGTAAAAACATACCTGGGGGGAAAACCCCCACAGTGTAGCAATATTAGTATTAGTGATGGACTGGCCTCCCCAGAGCCTGGAGTGCAACATTATTAAATCAGTGTGCCATCATTTTGACAGAGAAAGGAAGAAAAGGCAGACAACATCCGAAGAAGAGCTTTGAATGTCCTTCAAGCAGCCCGGAGAACTATTCCTGAAGACTACTTAAAGAAACTACAAGAAAGCTTGGCTAAGAGATTCAGTGTTTTTGCCTTATTTATATTCTGTATTTCCATATAGGTTCCAGCAAAATGCTGCACCTATTTCCCATTTTCCTAGAGAACTTTAGATTATATCAGTTTAATGATTTGTGCATTGAATTAGTGAGGAGCATAGTGTTTATGACAGGCTATTGAGTTTACTGAGTTGTCTGCTATTTTTAAATAAGAGTTTTACATTTCCCCAGCTTGAATATGATCATTATATATCCTGGCTAAATGGCGTAAATGGTCTGAAAATCAGATAAGCCCTGAAATGCAGCGCACCTCTCTTTCCTTTCCACCCTTGAATCCAGGGTAATTACTGCAAAGAATGAAACATGATATTTTTCGCATATCTTTCTTATGCTACGCTTATAATGAGGAGACTACCCTGTAATAAGATCTACTTTCAATTGAAGGATGAATTGCCTCATTTAGGAAACTCCATCAGCAGCTGATGAAGAAAGCAGCTCCTCCATAAATGCTATAACACGCACACAAAGCTGTGCATTTTACAGCTATGGGAACACAAAGGCATCGAGCTCTATTTTTGTCCAGCACTGACTGCTCACTCACTGACTGGCTGCTCTCGGTGTTTGAGGTTGGAGTGAAAAAGGGGAGCTGGAGGAGAAAAAGAGTGTGAATATTACACTGATGACAGCACGCACACCTGCTGGTCTTTTGAAGGCTCTCCAAACACCTTCTGCTGTAGTGGATGGGATGATAGGTTTTGCTAGTGTTCAGAAAACCAGTTTGATCAGTGGTGAAAGCGATCTAGCTGGACCCGGCAACTAATCAACACTTCAAAGACAAAGACTAACAGATCAGAAGCTAAATAATAAATCTCTTTTTTTCGTTTGGTCTCTAACAAGAAAACACTTTTCCCTCCCTGGAAAAGGCTATTATATTGTCGCTGCTGCAACTGACAACTGTTTTTAACTGCTGCTTTCTGTTGTTTGAGCCTGTTCCCCGTCTTTGCATTATTAACCACAGACGATAGAGCCCTATGCCCAGTTTGTGTGAGTCTGTCAGGCTCAATTACGTTCAAGAAAATCACCAAATCTGGGTGTAATTGAGGTGTAGAGTCTCAGGTGTATTGTTTCACTATTATTCTCATTTTGTGCCGAGGATGCGCGCACAGCTGTCAGGAGTCTCCATCGCGCCATTTGGAACAAAGATGAAGATTAGTTGAATCCCTCATCTAAGGTCTCATGTTAAAGGCTGTTTCTGTCGGAGCACCGAGTGAAAGTTTTAAACAGGTTCTCCATTTCATATGCAGGATCCTAGGCTTAGCCGCTGATTGTCACTGTCATTTAAAGCCGATGTGCAGGATATGACTGGCAGCGAGCCAGGGTGTTTTATAATTTGCATGTTTGGGGTTTGATCACCTGCCTATAAGTGTCGAGGAGACATAAATAACTCCTCATGCCTTCTGCAACCCTTTGAATCGACTGTGGTTTCCCAGTTTTTCAGTGCTGCATGTCAAATTAGAGAGAGAGGGTAAAATGCTTATGCTTTATGCTTGAGGGATCAATAAAACTATATCAAAAGTTCTGGGGATAAAAGACAGTCAGCAAAGCCTTATTTTGAAATTCGACTTGCCAAACTCTATTCATGTTATAATGAATCTTTTATTCAACTGCAACTTGGTGATTCTATTTTTTTTAATAAGCAAACCCATGAAAAGGTGAATACAAACATGAATTGTCTCTGGAGCTGCAGTGTGATATTGCTTTTTTCTCTGTGCCAGACTGTGCTGCAACCATACAGTATGTGCAACATTTGATTAACATCTACTGTGTCAAGCTGTTTCAATTAAGCTGTTTGACCTTTTAAATTCATTTTGCTAATATCACATTTGGCTGCCAATAGAGTAAAGTCTAACGTTATGTTCTTTTTTGGTACTGAAAGCTGTAAGGTTATCGTTTATTATATGTATATAACTGTTTTCCATTTATAGAAACTCATTAAAATTCATCTGCCTCTGTTTTATTGTGTCGATCTGGAGTCTCTGTAGCCTTTATGTCACCTCACCTCAATGTCTGGTGGAAAAGAGAAAGAAACACAAACCCTCAAATACAAAATTGGAGTGATTCCCTCACAGCATGACAGAGCTTTAACCGTGTCCCCAGAAAGGACAAGAAAGTGAGTACAAAGAGCTGACATGGCTTTTGTTACTATTTTTACCTGTGTGTGCGTGTGTGTATTAATTTAGGATCTTGTCTTTTCTTCACCATGTGCTAAAGGTGTTTATTGGTTCTTACACAAGTAAAGTGTACAGGTTATATGTGTGTGTGTCTCTGTCTGCTGTTTCTTGTGTATGTGGGTCAGTTCATCACCTTTCATTACTGCTATTCCACTTTTTTTTCTTCTCCACTGCTGGGCTGTATTTGGATTTCTTGGTCATTTTTCATCCACAGTTTGAGCAAGTGTCATTTATGTATCAGCGAGTAGACGTGGTCACAGTGCCCCCTGCAGGCGCGAGGAGCACTTTGCAACGTGAGCATGTTACTGAGCGTCTAAACAACTGTTATCAGCAGGCTAGTCTCAATATTTTCAGTTCATTTATTATTTATACATTAAAACGGGAATTTAAAAATATTACATGGCAGCATTATATACAAAATATGCTATTTGGTGCATGCATTTAGAGACTTAGCTTTGGCGTAAGAGCTCATAGCCTTGAAATAATATTCAATTTTTTAACAGTTTTATGCTTAATAAAGGCTCATGTATAATAATGTTTTAGAATTTCATGCCCACACGTTTCCGGTTTGGGTAACAGCCTGATATGAATGCAAGTGGCAATGAGATGCTTTTGGAAATGCTGCCCCGTAATTACAGCAATTTAGAGCAATCTGAATAATTTCAAGCACTGCGGGATAAGTGCAGTCAAAAGAAGAGCAGCTTCGGCAAAAATAGCTGGTGACAGCTCGGAAAATGAAAATGCATTAAAAAATTTTTTTTCTGTTTTTTCTCTTTTTTTTTCCCCAATTAAACACCGGACGGGTTTAAACTGAAAATCAGTTTAACATGTCCCAAAGTTTACTTTTCCCCCAGCTAAGCTACCCAGTAAGGCTTAGAGAGGAATTAATCATACTGTAACCTGACAACAGAGGGAGCCAGTGCCATTTAGTGGAGGTAAAATATCTTTCTCAGCAGACATAAACCATCTCCTAAGGGAAACTTCTCACTCTAACCGGTAAGCGTGGTACAAGGATTAAAGTCTCTGCTCATGTAGTGTGTCATGGTTAAATAACTTCCTCGAGCAGAGGAAGCAAATACAATCATGCAAATGATGAAACCAGAGCTCGCGCAGTGGTGAGGTAACCTCAAACCGAACCTGCTCTTTTCATCAGTAGCTTTGTTAAGAAATGTGATGAAGATGGCAGTTAGAGACTAGGATGATAGAACCGGGTGCTGAAAGCCATTAAAACAGGTGCACAATATTTCTGTAAATGAGAATAATAACAGTGATCTCATTAATAATATTAAGCTCAACCCTCAAAAATGCCTTCTTTACATCCTGCTTAGTGGCTACACACCTGAAGCAGAAATTGAAGCTGAACCAACATTACGATGCCTACTGCATCTCTTATATCCTGTTCTTGATTTCACTGATGTTTGCCATAAAAAGATGAATGCTTGTTTTATTCCTGTCACTGTCTGTCACATTTATTATATGTGTAAATAACAGATGGGTCGTTATGTAGGTGAAACAATATAAATTCAATTCAGTTCAGTTCAATTCAATTTTGTTTTTAATAATGTCAAATCACACCAGCAGTTGCCTGAAGGCTTTATATCGTAAGATAAAGAATCTACAAAATTATGAGAGAAAACCCCCAAAAATAACATGACCCCCTATTAGCAATCACTTGGCAACAGTGGGAAGGAAAAACTCCATTTTGAAAGGAAGAAACCTCCAGCAGAACCAGGCTCAGGGAGGGGCCATTTCCTGTGACTGGTTGGGCATGAGGCGAGGGAGACAGTGTGTGGAGGAGAGCCAGATATGAGCAATAACTAATGCTTAAATGCAAAGTAGTGAAAAAGGCATGGAGGGTCAATGGCTCAGTGCCCTCAGCAGTTTCAGCATAACTAAGGGAGGATTCAGGGACACCTGACCCAGCCCTAAGCTTTAACAAAAAGGAAAGTTTTAATCCCAAACTTTAGAGATGATGTCTGTCTCCTGAATCCAAAGGAGGAGGTGTTTCCACAGACGAGGGGCCTGAAGCTGAAGGCTCTGCCTCCATTTCACTGTTAAATACTGTAGGAACCACAAGTAAGCCCGCTGTCTGAGAGTGGAGTGCTCTACTGAAATGAAATAGTACTATGAGGTCTTTAAGACAAGGCAAGACCAATTATGTATTAATAAGGATAAGACTCAAGTTACATTTACAAGTAACCTTCAACATACCTGCCTTAGCATCAGTGTCAATTTTCCTAACTGGCATAAACATGTAGTAGTGGCCCAAATCCTTCGTGTTTCACCACTGCCCAGTGTGCTGGGCTGTTTACAGGATTATAAAACCTTTTGGTGTTCGTGCACAGCTGCACCACAAATAAGACTTTTACACTTAACATGTGGTGAACTTGAAACATCCTTAATTAGGAAGGAGAAATGTGCTGGCAGGAGCTGATTCCTCTGGTGGGATGTAAATTTAAAGGAGACTCACTCTTCCTGATTAAGCGTGGGCCACCGGGACAGAGTGTGATTACAAGTGCTATCACTGGGTGGTACAACTTGACGGCATTTAAGAGATGCGGACGGACTTTATTAGCTGTGGTTGTAATTAAGAGGTAGTCCCACATTTTAAAGTGCCTCCCCGTCTGGCTCTCTGTCTTCCGACAGTGTTTTGAGTGGTTGGAGGTCATAATCTCTTTCACCTGTTTACAACCTTTGCAAAGTGCTAGTCAGACTGTTAATTTTGGTTTGCAAATGTTATTGGGCACTAATAAGCTGCTGAGAAATTAAACGAATAAAGTAAATATATTTGAATTTTTATGTAATTTGGCAGCTTTGATGTAATCGTAAATAGATAAAGAACTAACCTGCTATCAGGATAATAGGATAATCAAGGTCACATGTGAGAATATGGGTTATTAGTTCTATCCATTTTTATCAAACTCTATGATTATTTTTCCATAACTTCAGTAAAACAAATCATCCTGCCAGCCAAAAACTGAACAAGTCCACTGAAGAAAGATGTTGTGTTTGCATACTCTCAGACTGCACACACATTGCTACTGTGGGGAGTGCCAGACACTGTGGATGGCAACACCACAGATGCTTAATTATGTGGAAGCGCTGGATCAGAATATTATTGCTTATTCTATCATGAAATATTTATGGCGCTTTTGTCCTGCATAGAGAAAGAAAAGCAATAAGACTGCAATGCACCGAGGCAACAAGGGATTTGCAAAATCCATTAAAAATCATTTTGAATTTATGTGTTGTGTAAACACATATTTTCAATGACTTTCAGTCTGTATTTTAACAAAAATGTCCCTGCAGCTGTGTTATCAGTTACACTATGGCAGCAGAGATTTATAGTCCCAAGGGTGTATCTGAGATTATGTGAAAGACCAGCGCGAGCCTGTGCTGCCAAGTAGCTCTGCAGTGTCACAAAAACAGGGAAAGTGGTTTTGGCAGTGGTTTTCTAATTCTCAGAGGACCCCACTAAGGCCATTAATCCTGTGAATTGCCACTGTTTGCGGTACCTCGACAGCCACTTGCCTTTAGAGATGAGCTGTGTCTTTCTCTGAAGATGTAAAGGACCTCAGAAGAGGGAAAGTTAATTTGACTTGACCTTTCCAGTGCTGGGAACAAGCTGTTATTTAGGACTCTATGCCACAACCTCATCTTCTGTTTCCACACCCTGGGAGGTATTATTGCATAGCAAGACATGCTCTTTCAGGTTTGTAATGAAGTCCCAGCCTCTATGTTTGCTGCTTTGCCCCGTATTCTTCTCTGATAATCAGGAGTCAGAAGTCCCCTGGGAGACAGAAATGGGAAGATTTAAAAAAAAAAAAAAGGAAACAAAGAACGAAAACACAGCCAGTACTTTACATCAATAATAATGAGTCATTAATATTTATGGCAACATTAAATTTAATTGTCCTATTTTTTGTTTGTTTTGTATGTGTGTGTCTATACCCCATTATCTTTGGGTGTACTGTGATTGTGCTCGATCATTTTAATGAAGTGGAAAAAGTTTGCAAAAAAGTGAACCTCTGGAAATTATCCAGTTTACTGCTGAATCATGAACCATCCCTGTGACGGCATCTAACACAGCAAGTTTAACTTGCAACATTTTCCACCTTTTTCCTTTACTTTTGTTGTAAAGACATTTAACAACATGACTAATCCTTGATATATATTTAGGAAAACAAGTGCAATTTCAAAAGCACGTCTCAGCTTTTCTACATTATTAGGAAATGCTGCTGTACTAAACCAAAGAAACATGTCAGCGCAGCTCTTTTGGCTTAAATGTCAAGAAATAAAAGTGCAAAATTACAATACTGGCAGCTCATTCAGTTTTTATTTTCAGTACTTTGTCCTGTAATGAAAAAAGTTTTATTATTATTTTATTATTTCAGCAAACTGAGGCTTTCATGATGTGAAGACAAGGAATTGATTTGTTTTGAATCAGGGTTTGCAGTGTCATTGGATAAGGAAATGCCGTTAACAACTCTGGCAGTGTCTGGCAAAGATGCACTACAACAGCTTGGACTGTCTGTAAGAAAAAAAACAGCTGTGCACAAATTAATCTGGGCACTTTTACTCGTACTGCCACTGTTACTTTATTTAGGTCAGACAAGAAATCATTGAAACTTTTACTCTTGGACACCTTTTAGCAGTCCGAGTCAATCATCTTCCAATATCAAGTCCAACTTGCCGCTGTAATACTTGAATGCATTATCAGTGAAATATATTTCCACACCACCTCATTTTACTCCTTCCCATCCAGCTCCAAGTTTACACAGTCTGGAAACTGTAAAAGGAGTGAATACATGTTATATCAAGTAGGGAGTTAATCAAAAGATTTGCTTCTTGTTTCATCTTAATCCAAAGCAAAAACTGCCCTTTGGTTATGAAGGTAGGTCAGTTTGTTCCCCAGAGATTCTGCTTCAAACTACTTTCCTGTTATGATTTTTGCTGGCTACAAGGAAAACTTCCAGCTGGATTTCTGTGTCTTCCTTGCATAGCTGTAGATGTTTTCCCTAAGGCCACCACATTTTTGGGGGAATGCAGTATCTCATTTCTTTATATTTTTCTTCCAAATGGTGACTTTTTTTTGTGTAATTTTATGAAGTGGTAACCCCCCAGACTTTCTAGAAACATTTGGAAGTTTTTCTTTGGACATGCTGTTTTTTTCACTCATATTCCGTCCTGGCTCCTGTACCTGACTATTTTCAGAGGGCACACAGTAGCTTGGTGGTTAGCACTGTTGCCTCACAGGAAGAAACTCATGCGTTTGCATCTTCTCCCTGTGTCTGTGTGGGTTCTTTCCAAATACTCCAGCTTCACCCCACAGTCCAAAGAAATGCATGAACTTAGTTTAATAGCTGATTCTAAATTGACTGCAGGATGGATGAAAAGGAACATAACTCAAGGGAAGATCTGGTGTTGTGCATATATATAACAGGGAATTTAATAAAGAACCAATTTTGATTAGTCACTTTGTTACAAGCAGCCTGTTGCAAAAACACTCAGTTTGTTCCAATGTCTTTAGTTGAATCTACAGAAAATGCTAAAAGGTAGCACAGTTTAACTGGCATAAAATAGTATTTTTGCACCAACAATTGATTCCCGAAGAGCTAATAGTTAAAAATTGGCATATCTTCGCATGGTGCACTGTGTGACCTTCAAAAACATAAAAAATCATCAGATAACTGAAAGATAAAAAAGGAGTGGCAGGCCTAAGTAACAAGTGAGCAGTATCTGAAAGTAACAAAGAAAAAAAGAAACAGGAAAAAGTCCCGTGAATACCTGACACAGGATGTGAGAGAAGAGGGAGAAAATTCTGAGTTATGCCAAATTACGCAAGAGCTAGATGTAAAATCTGTGACATATCCAAATTTTAAATGATTGTCAATAAGTATGGAGGAGTTCAGGAGAGAGGTACAACAGTGACTGTCTACTATGTTTCAATAATTTGCTACATGTATTTCCCAATTTCTTAGCAAAATATACAAAAATGAGTGCAGGCTCAAGATTTTTGCACACTACTGTATGTGTTAATGTTGTTTTAGATCAAATATTTCCCTGATCTTTCAACACACAGTGCTGCTAAACTGTGTTGTTTGAGCTGGAAAATGGCTACTGTAGCTTCCCCCATTATTCAGCATAAATAAACAAAAGGAAGAAAAGTACAAGCCGCTCTTTGGAGCACACTAGAACATTCCTGTGTACATGGAAGAATAATCGCCTCTCTTTGCGGATCTGCTTCTTTTAGGGATAAAAAGGATTCATACGGCTGAGTTGGTGCAGGGACAGGACCTCAAAGGATTTGGCTTTTTACATGCTGTTACAGCTCATGCACACTGATTGCTGTAGATTGTTTGTTAGAGAGAGGGAGTTGTCATGTGGTGTCTCAGAGCATGGACTGGTTTGATCCTCCTCCGTGTTTGCAGATAAAAGTCTGTGAGTCACTGACTGGGATCTGTTAATGATCTCACCCACTCCACCTGTTTCCACCTCCCTGTCTTTCCTATTGGTAATAACATGTATATAGTCTCTGAATCGTCATGTCTTTAACACACAAAGGCACCAAGAGCTGAAAACATCAGCTCACAAAGACATCTGGCAGCTGCAGAGCCTTAAACACACACACCACAAACACACATATACGCTGTGGAAATTTTTACTGTGACACACAATAATATAATTCACAGGTGACATGTTTATAATGTTTATCCATCAAGCATCCTGTTCTGCTCTTTTAGTTCATTCACAGTGAGCTCTTGCACTTCATCCATTGGCCCTCATCCGCTCTCCCTGACATTTCCCTTTTTCAAACCCAAACACAGGAGGTATGTGTAGCAGTGGAAAATAGTAAAGGATCCAGTAGATCCAGTGCAGCATTTCCAGTGGTTGCTGAGGGATGCCAGAATGCGTCTGGGCAGAGTGTTTTTAGAGCTCCCTGTCCTAGTTAGCCACGGTCAAGGGATTGTTGCTTGACTGTGGATCTAAAAAGTGAATTATTCAGCACAGTTTCCTTTAGCTGGATCACACTTACATATGAAGAGCCTCTGCAGACACACACTTGTATGTCTACAAAGACATTAACTCTGATAGTGACAGGGATCAGAGGCACTCTCTGATAAGTATGGAGCTGGATAATTTGAACCGCTGACAGCTCTTCTCTGACGTATCCACCAATGGTTGCTCAGGAATAAAACACAAGCAAAACATGGAATGACATGACACAGATACACCGGGGCACAATTTCAGCTGACCAGCTGCTGCAACAGCAGCAGTTTAAAGACAGCTTTCAGTTTAAGAGAGTTATGAAACACACACAAGTCTGAATTGTCACTCCAGGCTTTAGAGCCAAGTTTTGTCGTTGATAGATCAAAAAGACAAGAGTCCAAGGAACTAGAAATGGTTTCAGCGCCTCTCGTTCGTTCACCTGAAGAAGAATCCAGATATCCTCGGCTCATTTCTGTTATCAGAAGAATGCAAACGGTGACGCCTTTATCAAATCATAGATGTGACAAGCACAGAGAAGAAGTATTGAGAGAACAACTTAGGTCACTCAGTTTATTTGTACACCTATCTGCTAATATGGTAATGATATGCTACAATATAATATGCAATTTATTCATGGCTATGTAATAACAGGTGCAGACCATGTGCATTTACGTAGGTATCACAGTGTTCTTAGTTTTCTTAGGCAGACGCTGATATGTCAGCTTGGTATCAGTGCAACTTATTAATTATTAGCCCTGACAACACCAATCCACAATAAGCACATCAGTATCTGAATGGTTGGGAGATGGGAAACTAGAAAAGAAAAGACTGGGTGGGTGCATTCCTCCTAAGAAGTTTGCAGTAAATGCAAAAACATGCAATTCCCTGTGCAATTTTGAGATTACATAACCTTAAAGGCAATTCACAACTAAATCACAAATAAAAATCATGAGCGTGTAAAACCACCGCGTTAAAAGCCCATCAGCAAGCTGTATTACAGAGATACTGGAAGCTTCATTAAGCTTTAATTGTGAGGATTTTACTTCATCAAGAGGGGAAAAAACATCATATTATTTAATTATAATCATGAGCTATAATTGCAGTTTTTATAGACTAAACACACCCACACCAGCCTCCCACTTAAACTGTACTGGTCCCATCATATCTGTCACACAGGCCATTTATAGCCCAGAGTTTTAACGCACACCTCCGGGTCAGCGACTGCGTCTACTCACTCCCATGCAGACTTTGCTTTGTCCCGGAGGGATCGCGGCTGCTGGGAGTGTGGGAGGAAAGCCGAGTTTCACGACGAAGGGTGGTGGGTGGATGGGCGGTGGGACGTGGTTATGAAGCTGATTGCTGCGTGACGTTGGCGAATTGCAGCAATCTCCAAACTGTACGTGAAGGAGAGACCGACCAGGACGCACTGGATACAGCAGATCTGGGGAGGGAAGTGGAGGAAGGGGGTGGGGGGATCCGACAGAGGTAGAGAGGGAGAGAGGGAAGAGGGAGAGAGAGAAAAATTAAAAACAGGAGGTTGGATGGATGTGAGGGGACAGACAGCAGGACACCGGCTCTAGAAACATCAAGGGTCCCATCAAGAGGTCTGGTGTCTGCACCAAATCAGCCTCAGGGATGTAGTCGAAGCGGTTCGGAGCTCTGCCCATCCGAGCTCATCATCATGAAGAAACACTCTGCAAGGGTTGCCCCGCTGTCCGCCTGCAACAGTCCGGTGCTCACCCTCACCAAAGTGGAAGGTAGGGAGTTCCGTTGAGACCGCCTGTACCCCCGCAAACTGGGGGCTGCCGGTGTGCCTCTGACAGAGACCGGAGCTCAGCTCAAATATTTCCGTTCACGAATCGTTTTTTGTTTTTGTTTTTTAAGACAAGGATCAACTTTAGAAAATCTCACTGTGAGCAACACGAAGCGACGGGAATCAGCCAAGCGCTCAACTTCAAATCAATGATGCAATATTTGTGGGTTTTGACATCAAGGCTCAAGATCCATTTTCTTTACATGAGTGATGTCAGATGCTTCACTTGGATGTTAGGCTGTTTTATTTCTCTCGTTATACGACAACGATGACAAATTTGTTCCGTTGCGTTTAAATGATTGCGTTATTGACGCACTGATTTTTGGGAATGAGCGCGACTCGCGAAGGCTGTGCCAAAAATTTACTGGTCCTTGGGGAGGGTCTTAAGTTGTTATTGCAGCAGGGATTCCCCTCGCACTCTCCCCCGTGTACCCATCATCACAGGCTGCAGGAGTCTCTGCTTAAAATGCCAGCGGATAATGCCAGGGCAGCTGGGACATGAACCCAGCAGCAAGCGTGTTATCGGTGGTCCCATTAAACGCTCCGTGGCAGTGTCCTTCAGTCTTCCTCATAGCTTGATGTTGGGTCTCACTGGGTCTCCCCTGTCTCGTCTGAAAATCCCTCTGATCTGCAGGAGCGCTGGCATTTCCTGCTGACATCATTAAGAGACAACACCTCTCGGAGTTCTTGTGCGTGTCTTGTGTGTGTGTGTGTGTCTGCTGCAGCATTCTCAACACCTTCTTGAAAGAGTATAGTGTGATAGCCCCTTTGATGCCTGTACAGTATCCCTCCTATGATGTTCTCCTCTGCCTGATTCTTGTGCAAAGAGCTGATGTTATGCCCCCCCCCCCCATCTATTACTCGAGACTACTGAACATCAGTGTTTTTGCAGAAAAGATGTTCACCTTTCAGCTGGATCAAATAGAGAAATAACTGCAATTATTTTGGTGAGTTTCATAGAGCCTCATTATGACAAACTCACAACATGAAACTAGAACCTCAGAGCTTTTATAGACAAACTCATTGTGTGACCATGACAGGTTTGGTGGCGGCTGTACTTTTGTGCAGTGCAGTATTGAAGCTCAAGGTGACTGATCATCAGTGAAGCCACTAAAAAAAGCTATTAGGTTACATAAAACACAGAAATTTAAGAGGACAGTCACATAAATACTTGTTAAACTGTTTACCTCTCTGCTTCCATCATGCAGGGCTCGAGTTGTTGCTGACTCAGACTTAACTCTGTCTCTGCTGCTGTTGTTTGGGAGTTTGCTATAGTCTGGAGCATTAATGTGAAACCATCTGAAAATGCTTCATTATTCATAATCGATTACTCAACCAGCAGATGGAAGGTGAGTGGCCAATTTTTATGCAGGTTTTTAAATGGACATGGATGAAATCGACGCCCGAGGTGTTTAGTTTGCATTGCATACACTCAGACAAGGCGCCCCGGGTAACTTCAGAATAATCCGTGCTGCTGGATTACCAAAGATTTTAAGCTCATTAGTGTAAATTTCAGGCTCGACGGGTTTTATTTTCAGAATAGCTGGGATGGCGGGGTGTTATTTGACAAGCTTGTGTATACAGGCTTGACAAAAACTCTGCTGTGACACGAGGCAGCGGGGAGAGAAAACGTGCATATAGGCGTCTTGTGTTGGGGATGAAACGGTATTGTAAATTTTTGAGGGGAGTTAAAGCGGTAAAGTTTGTGATGTGAGCGCTCGGCTGCTCGTTTTTAGCAGCTGCTTTGAAGGAGTGGTGGTGGTGGAGGAGTGGGGGGATCACAGGGGGCCACAGCATATCAACATGCAGCTTTTCAGAGTCTCTCATGCTTATGTAACACCAGCACTGAAAACTCTGTTCTCCTCACTAACAACCTGCAGCAAACTGTCAAAGACTTTTTATCCCCCAGTCTTGAATTGTCAGTGGTCTGTCTTTTCTCTTCTTTTTTGTGTCCAGTGAACAGGCACACTTCCACACAGCGTGAAGCAACAAGTACAGTATCTGATTTGAACATGAAATTCTATTTTTTCTTACATTTATTGCTTGAATTGATACATTTACTGGATAGTAACCAATCTGTTCTTCATCACAAAGCATTTCCATAGTCATCCTATGATCTCCTCTTTGTTGGTTGACTCATGGTTCTGGTTATACAGTTCAATGTTGTCTCTTACAGCTTTAATTCATTCCTTTGGAGTATTTACCGCTTCCTCTGTGTTTTCTTCTCATAGACAATAATTATTATTGATTTCTCTTTTAAACGTATTTCTATCCATGGCGTCTTTAGGGAATGTCGGTCCCTTTATCATCATAAGCAGGGGTAAGAAGTTCATAAACGTCCCTTTAATCTCAGCAATTTAATTATATCCTCTGAAACTGTGCAGGCACGTTTTCAGAGTGATTCAGCACACATACGCCCCCCCCCGGGAAGCTGGTCACCAGCTGCCGTTATGGGCACACTAAATCTTTCCCAAAAGGCTTCATGCACTTTGACCATGAGTTTCTGTATGTGTGCCACTCAGACGATAGCAAATTAAAAGCCTTTGTATAGAGAAGTAGACCCTTTAGATTAACTTGATTAAAGCAGTTGGACGCTTGAGTGCTGGGCAATGTTAGGAGTTCTCATTTTGACCTTCCTGCTCTGCTTTTTTGCGCCTGTGCATCTATCTGATCCAAGTATATTCATACGGGCCAACTTTAAAACATAAATGATTTGGACGATTCAAGACAGAGAACATAAAAATCTGAATTGCAATCATTGCTTTACAGAAAGCGAACACCGCATGTTTGCTTCAAGGACAGAATCTTGAATCTTGTACTCATTTGCATGTGTCTTATTTGTATGTAAATGTGCAGCAGCACCCTCAGTATGGAGATCAGGCTACATGTGCCAGACAGAGGTCAACATATTGCATGTACATATTGTGCATGTATTAGATACATCAGTAAAAAGCTTACTGGGAGTATTAGTGGGATTCGTCTTAGAGTTCCTTCCTCAGCCTTATTAAATTCTTCACATTCATTCTTTGAGCGTAATTGGAGTTGAAATTGTTGGTTGTCAGAGGAGCAAAAGTAAATCTTGATCTTCGTGCTAAATGTATTTTAAAAGCCAGTGAAACGGGTCTTTGGGCCTTGATAAGTGTGCATTGAATACACAGTGACAGGGCTTTTGTTTTATTAAGAGGCCGAGCTTTTGCTTAGGTTTATCAAGTACAGCATGCGTGTGTGCAGAGAGGGCTGTGAGTGAAGCCGAACGTTATTGGAGGTTTGTTGCACGACTTCTTTTCTGTATGTTATATTTGTAATTTATATAGTAAAAGCAGTGCGTTTAAGCAAAGCCCGCTATAAATATGTGTAAAGACGAAGCTCCTCAGCGGTAATCCTAAATCGAGTGAGCTGATCCAAAAGCTTTTCGGTGAGAAGGAAGACTGCCTGTCTTCTCCAAATACACAATGCACCCAGCAGACTAGACGCTACAGCTGTGGTTGGGTTAACACGCTGTTTATGACAAATAATTTAACAACAAAAATGTAAAAAATTATATTTACTTGAGCCATTTCGACAGAAATGTGAATTCTCGAGTGTGCAAACATGCATTTCATCTGTGAAAGTGAGTAAGCAGTTAGTTTGTTGAACATACTTTTTGATGCCATTAAAAACTCAATTGCCAAACTGCGAGTGTCTCACAGCAGTGACACAATAAAAGGGTTAAGATGTGTTAAAAAAAAAGGTGCAGTCGTGACTCAGGTTTGTGAAATTTGATAGAGTCCCTGTGTCATCAGTGGCCTTGGGGTGCAATAAAGGGAGTAAAACCACAGTTTGGGCAGACACTCAGCATACACCTGCCGTGGTTGCCTTTCCATTACCTTAACAGGAATGCTGTAGCCGTAGCCAATCTCTTAAATATTGATTTGTCGCAGAAAGTGCTGGGACTCTTGCCAGTCTGTTAAACTGCAGGTACATCACAGTGCATTCACTGGTATAAGGCACTGCAAGCGAGGGAAGGCTGCTTCAGAACAGGGTTATCCTGTAGCGTACCCGATGCCAAATATGATTGCTATTACTCTGCTGCAAAACACAGTGCGCAGACCTGCACAATCACTCTCTGCTTGCATGCACGCAGTGTAACCAATAAGGCATGAAGGGGGCTACAGCATTGACCTGTATCATGAGCATCTGTTGAACCAGCTGGGCAGGTCAAGGCAGACACAAACAACAAGTTTGCTCCTCGGTGAGGAAGTCGCCGCACTGTCCTTTGAGGTTGAAGGAGAAACCGAGAACGAAGGAGAGCAGGATCAGTAACAGCTGACCCACCCTTGTCTGCCCTTCTGGGCCTTTAGTCCCCTCAGCCCATGTGGTCCTACCTATCAGCTGGTTGACGCAGCAGGGTGTGTTTTCCGCCTGTCTCTCTTTTGTGTTATTGAGTGGGACAGGCTTGTCAGATGAGCCTGCTCTGGTGTGTTGAAAGGACGCTGACTGACAGCTTGGCCTGACCAAGTTGTCACAGTCAAGTATCACAGACTCACACTGTCTGTCAGACTCTGAGGCCACAAAGACAGTAACTGCTGTCTGTGTGCTGTTTGTCTTTCTAGCTGTCTCTGCGATTAAATTACCATCCTTTTTTATAAAAGTACAGTTAATGTTTTTTTTTTTTTTAAATATATGTATATATATAAATTGCCTTTTTTTCCCAAGCAAAAAGAAAACAGTATTTCTAAAACACTCTGCCTCAGACTTATGTCAGACCTGACAAACCAAATAAGTCAACATGGATCTGAAGGATTTATTTTTATTGAGGTATTCATTGAGTGATTGATGCTGTGTGACAGCCATAAACCAGTTTAAAGAAGAACTGTGATTTTGAATTTGTTTGCTTGTTTTTTATTATTATTTTTCAGAGAATTACACAAAAAATGTGAAAGGTTCACTTCAACTTACTTAAAGACACCTCAGTCATACCTTACTATGCGGGTAACTTTATTTAAAAATGAGAGATTTTCTTCCCTCAGCCTTGTACAATGACACTAAAAAGTAAAAGTGTCAAAATTAAGACGATCTGACTCCTTAAGGTTTTTACACAAAGACTTCATGCTGTAATGTTGGCTTGAGTAAGTTGAACTACTTAATTTGTATTCATCACCAAGCAAAACCAAAGACAGTAAATAAAAGGAGAAGAGTTTCTCTGAAGTGTGTGTGTGTGTATGATTGATCTGTTTACCCTCTTGAATCGCTGAGGCAGAGCACTGCAGAGCACTCTTGCTCCCACGGAGGTGTTGCCAAACAGACAAAACTCTCCTACCACTACGTCTCCCCTTGTTGAGGTCCCAGGTAAACACTCCCTACTGTTGCACCCTGCCGCCCTGGCAAACCAGGCTTGGGCGGTGGCCCGTTCAGGGAGCAAAGACAGGGACGTATCGAGACTTTCTCAGCCTGTCACGGCCGGGTTCTGTGAAGTGTGAGAGCGAGCAGTCAGGCAGGGCTCTGCTGGCACGTTTGGGATTTGCAGCTATCAGCAGGAGAGATCTGCACTGCAGAGACTGCAGAGGGAGGGAGGATAGCAGAAGTGGGAAGGCTGGCTGGGAAGCAGGGAAACACAGACTAATGAGGGAGAGGAGCTGGAAAACTGGCTCGATAGTGACAAGATTAATCTCAACATCCACTGGAGTCCTTTGCCTCTACTGGGAGTGGGATGTATGTTCAGTATCTGGCATACGCGGTGCTTAGTGGACTAAAGTACTTCAGGCAGATATATGAGCTTGCAGCACAAAGATTGATTTACTGTGCCATATTTTAACAAATATACACTTGTAGATAAATAGATAGATGCTAATAGGCTACTAGTTTACCTGTGCTTATTAAATCCTATGATTCTAGCGTGCTTTCATTCTACCGAGCAGTAGGGATGACTGTATCTGAGGAAGCAACAAGAAGAAGCCATACACAGCTGTCAGAGCAGATCACAAGCTGGCCCTAGAAACACTTTCTTCTTGTCTCCAGCAATTTTGCAGATGTCCGTTAGCATCCAATGAAGTATATTTGGACATAGAATGGGTTGAATAAATGTAGACATTTTCATCCAGGATTTAATTTTTCTATCACAGTAATCTAAAACTAAAACTAATTTGCGATCCAGTGCACGCAAAGGCTGAGATTAATTATTAAAATGTCAGAAATGCACTGTTCCTGTGCTCCAGACAGCTAAGTGTGACAGACTCACCTTGACGGTTGACATTAGATTATGAATTAAAAAGGTGAATCATTTAACACTTTAAGAAGACTCGGTCTGAGTATTTCATCTATGGTCATAATAGCTTCAAATGTCATTAGTGGAGAGGCCCTTCGATTTTGCCGGGCCACTCCATCGACTCAGATCCAGCACACTGATGAGTTCACTCGATATGTTCGTTACTGGCATTCAGGGTTCATAGAGCATCATTAGTCACCATCAGTCTAAGTGTAAAAGAAGTGCGCTCCGTTTTAAGTCATTAGTCTGGGAAGATATACTTGCAGCTCTGCATTTAATTACAGGGGCTTTAATTAGTATTTTATTGCATGACACATTTTTATTTAATAAGAGACAGACTATTGTATTTAAGTATTGTGGTAACTGCCACAGCCTGGAGTACAGGCTGTATGATATCACTAATGTTGTCACTTCACTAAGTGTGCCAGAGCTGATAATGCTTAGCTAGGCCCCAGAGTCTGCCTGGGGGCTGATTGGCTTGGTCCATTATCACATTTGGGAGATTAAACTGTGGTCCAGAGATGTGGTCAGAGCCACAGGATGCGGGATGGAGGCCCAGGAAGGACACAAAATGGGCAGCACCAATAAAGAGATGACCTTCAGAAAAGACAAAGAGGCCTCAGAGCTCAGAATAGAGAAACTTAATTCTCACCCCTGTGCACAAGACTTTGATAAACATCCATGTGTGCCTGTTTCTTTTTTTGGCCACTGCTGATTCATCACTTCATTGCGGTGACAATGACAACGATCTCGAATCATCTTTAGTTTTTTTTGTGCCTCCGTGCTGTCAGATCCGTCAGTTGCTTTCGCAGCAGCAGGGAACATTGTTCAGGTTCCTCTAACAGCGCCGCATCTTAACTCCATCTCTTTTTGACGTTTGCGATAGATAAACAGAACGTGAATCTCTCGTGCAGCCAGTATAGGTAGCCCGGGGAAGCCGGGGCATTAGCATAAGAGTCATCAGGGGAGTTAATCTACGGTATGATGAGACCACCTGGAAAGGTCAGAGTCAGCTCGTCCAGTAGCAGTGAATTGCCTCATTGGGTGTGATGGATGACCCCTTACACAGCTCTTTTGTAAAATATGCAGGTTATATTAGACAAGGTGGTTTTATTTGTTTTTTGTTTTTTTTATTCTTTTATTATTACACAGATCACATTCACAGAACTGCAGACAGTGCCGCGTATACAGCAACAACTGATACGGCACAGCGACAATATTTTGAGAGCTGAGTGTCCTGTTGATGCCGTCAGACAATCATTTCCACAGCGTAATCAAATCAAGTTAAATTTATTCTTCCCTCACCGAGGCCCTTTGAAGTGCATTCAGTATTCCAGTCAACAGCATACAGTGCAGTGATGAATTGGCGAAAGGCTCCCCGCAGCACATCATTACCACTGGAAACACCATTAGGGAGATCGCTCATTTTCAACATTTTGGAAGGTAGGAAGCGACCGAAGATGCATGATGCCTATTATGCAGCTGTTATGAAATAGAGCTGATATGAGGTTGTGCTGTTTATTGTGTTGCACTCTCACTAAACCGATTGCAGAGTTGCGGTCATGTAGTTTTGCTCTAGGTGGTGCGGGTTTAGCTACATGGTCAAAAAGAGCCTAAAATGATTTGTGAAAATCTGTAAAAACTTTATGTTACTCACAATTTTTTACTGATTGTCTTTGAACGTCACAATAATATTATAGGCCTCGGGGGACGTCAGTACATAAGTTGGCTAAGCGTTTGACTTTGACTGTGGTTTTTGACTTTCAAGGTCAAAGTAGACCTTTAAAAAAATTCAAGAAACCATATTGAGTAATATGTCATATGAAAGGGCATGGAGAGGGCTGTACGATACACTTTTTAGTTTTTCAGTTTGACGCTATATAATGTCACAATCACGCCATAACAGGCTGATGTCAGCATGACTAAAAATATCATCGGGGGAATTGTGCTATCTGAGTGCTCTTATTATTGTTAGTTTTAGAAAGACGTTAATTATCAGTACAAATCGAGTGAAAGCTTATCTGTCTAAATTAACCCCCTTAATGCCCAGCGTGTCATATTTGATACATGAGTTTTTGTTCTGTTTTTAAGCAATAAATTAAAAAAAAAAGTCAAAAGTAGCAAATATGATACAATTAAAACTCATATATGTAAATTAATATTAATACATTTTTATTTTATTTTTTTAAAGGTTCAATAACTCCTCCCATCTTCAACAAATTTGAATTTTATGGCAATTATTTAATTGTTTTAGCTTTAACGGGTTAAGAGCTGCCATAATTGTTGCATTTAACTGTCATATTTTTGTAAAACACTGTGTGTCATTTCCATGATCATGCAGCAGTGTCTGAACTTTGTAGAGGACACAAAGTTGGTAAGTTCAGTGATTCGAGAGAACAAAATGATCTTGGTAAGCAAATTGGTTCTGAAGCACAGAGTGGGTGAGAGTGGGGCCGAAAACTGTACGCCAACACTTCGCTTCAGTTCTCACATTAGTGAAGAAGTATGGAGGCTATCAGGTTTTGACAAGAGAAATAGAAAAGTTAAGTGTTGCGGTGTGTGTCTTTGCACGCTAGGGCAAACACACATGCTGCTGCAGCTCATGCGGTGGAGAAGAGGTCATCTTGGATTGGATATCACGTCTGCCCTCATGTGCCCTCTGTTTCACTGCCGCCTGTCACACTTGATCGCCACATTTCTAACTCGGATTGATTACCTTCAAGTTCAGTTTAAGTTTGAAAGCAGCTATTTTTATCCGGAAAATGATGACAAGACTGGTATGATCTGGAGTCAGTTTTGCTGCAAAAGATAATATACTGTATCCACATGATGCTTAGGGAGAAAAAAATGCCACAACCTGGCAACCTCTGAAGGCTGTGACAAAAAGCACTTTATGTGACATTTTATCAAAATAATTTGATCAAATCAGGTGTAACAGTAGGCATCAGTGAAGCAGGACGTGCATGGGAGTGGAAATAGTGTGAAAGTGCTACAAGGTGCTGGAAAACAGCATGAAAGAACTGAAAAGAAAGTAAGTACATGCAGAAACTCAGACGCCAGGCAGGAGAGAAAGAATCAAGTGGCATGCCAGCAACGGTTTCATAGTCTGGAAACACCAGGCCCAGATGTTCCCATTTGGCATTGATGATTTCCTGCCCACCAGGCACCTAAAGCACATGCAGAGGAAGAGGAAGTTGAGAAAAATTCAGTAATAAGCAAGGACAAATATGTTAAAATGTGTCAAATAATGAATGAGCGTACAGGTCTGCAGTATCGGTGTGTTTGGACATCAGTCTGTCATGTATGTGTCCGTCTTTAGGGGAAGATCGCTCCAGAGAGAATGTGGTGGGCACCACAGACGCGCAGTCGGCCGGTGCTGCAGGAGCAGAGTCCGGCTCCAGCAGACGGCGGCTTCACTGCTGCATCCGAGTGACAGCTGTACAAGTGCGGAAGGCTCTATGGGGAGTCGCCATGGTGATGTGCGTGTGTTCCTCCTGGGCAGGCTCCACCCAGCTGGCCAAGCTGACCTTTAAGCAGTTTGATGCTCCCTTCACCCTCACCTGGTTCGCCACCACGTGGAACTGCCTCTTCTTCCCCCTCTACTACATCGGCCACCTGTGCAAGAGTCCGGAGAGGCAGACAGCCAGGCAGAGGTTAAGGTTAGAAGACACTCTCTCCTTTAGAGCAAGCTCCATTAGAGGTCCAAGCACTAAAGCTGCTGTCACATTATGATCATTCTTTTTATATATATATAAATCGGCTTTTGTGCTCTGACATGTTGTGATCATCCTTTAATCTCAGAATTTTCCACATATCCTCCTTCTTTACATCCATGAATCTTCTCCATGATCTTCTTTCATGGCACCTCCATATTCAGCATCCCCTTTTTGTTTAATTTATGGGCTGGTACATGGCAGCGACACCAGCCTGGGTGCTGTAACTCTGTTATAGCTTTAGCCAAGACTAGTTGTCCTGTGACCAGTCTTACAGATGGTGGATTTTAGATGAATTAACACTTGTTTGACAGCTTTTGATGCACTTAAAGTAGGCGATAGCAGTAGGTTGTTATCAATTCTAGTCACTGTTTCTCTTTTTTCTGTCTCGCCTTTCCTGGTGCACATGGACTGTGAATAAAGTCTGTACGGGTCTGTGCCCCTACCCACCGACACGCACAGTGACAGCGGAGGAAACAAACGATATAAAAAAACCCTTAAGTGACTGTAAAGTGCAGTATAGGCTCTCACACAAATTCTGACTTCAGTCAAAGGGCATTATTTCTTTTCTAAGGTCAGAGACTTCAGCAGTTACAGTTTTATAAGACAGACCGTAAATCAATTTTTGCAACAGCAACAGCAGACCAGATTACAGCACAGTCATTAAAAATCAAATCAAAGTAAAGTTTCCTGTCTTTATATAGATAAAACCTACAACCTTTAAAAATAATATCTCAAGTCAGACCTGAGGGGTCATCAGATCATTAACAAACAATTAATCTATCTGTATCAGCATTTGTAATGGCCCATAAGTTAAAAGCTGAAGACTAGATGGGAGAAACACACTTTAACCAAGTTATGAGTGATGACATTGTATAATTCTTCTACCTGTATGCAACCCGCAACTTCAGTGTTGGCCACACAGCCAAATGTTTGGAAACAGCAACCAGCTGATCCGAGCAAAGTTGGGCTTCGAAATTTAAATGTCAGTGAAATTTGTGCCTAGCATCAAAAAATATCCTCCGATATGAAGGAATATCTGATGTTTAGATTGCCCAATATTGGTATCAGTATCTGTATTAAAAATCCCATATGAGTTTTATTCTCTCTTTTTATTTTCTATCCAGTTTTTCTAGTTACAACAAGTATACAACTAATCGGGATTTACCAAAAAATCCATTCAAAAGGTCAGTTTGATTCCCCAATGAAATTAACCACCACGTAACATCTGGCAGTGTACTAGTGAGATGATAGAGATGTACTAATTGATTTTTTTCAAACACTGTGTGACAGTTTCTGTCCTCTTTGTATTTCATGGAACAAACGCCACATGTTCAGCCTGATTCACCAGCTGCTTACAGTTTATCATTTAGGTCCATTTTCAATCTCGCTGAATAAGCTAATTCTGTTTTTGCTTGTCAGGTAAACACAGTCATCCTCTCTTCAGATTTTATTTGCAAAACGCCGCCACATATTTACCTGTTTGGAAGAGCAGGCTGTACCGTCTCACATACCCTGCTGACGAGACTGTAATCCTAATTGTGTTACAGTGGCTTTCACAGTTGAAGCAGTCCATTAATCATGGTCTTTAGACAAAAGTCTTATCTCTGCTACCTGCAATGCTACGTTAGTGCAAAGAGACAAAAGAGAGCGGTAGTTTAGAAGCTGTGGTGTGCTGGTGAGCTCGGGGGATTGACTCTGTATTTCAGATGCTCCTCTGTGATGTAATCCTTCCTTTTTTTCTAAAGGCCTACATGAGGATGTGGGTCTCCCACTCCTCAGTTGGAGCTCATGTGAACTGACTACAAATTACAATACCGTCTTCTGTGAACCTGACAGTGCAGAGAAATAGAAACCAAAGGATAGCTTCGTGACAGCAGGCAGCCGAACGAGAGACAAGGACTTGACTTTAGCATTATATCTGTGAGGAGAGGATTTTAGTGCACTCATCAGCCCTGTTGTTGTATAGACTTGATATTTACGGGCAGATCGTATCAGCAGTGGAAGGATTTATCTCTTAACTCACAAAGTGTCATTTTGCACGTTCATCTTTTAAATTCAAGCTTGTAGTTTGAGACCCTCTGGCTGCTCTTGGGTAATGTTAAGTCAGTTTAGATGTAAGTATAAAAAGAAGGATGGATTAATTCAATTCAATTCAATTTTATTTATATAGCGCCAAATCATAACAAAAGTCGCCCAAACGATTAACTCAGTTTGTGCCAAATTCTAAAGAAACCAAATAAAAGTTCCGTGCAGGCGCTAGAAAGTGATACTAAATGATTCTGGAAGTGCAGCGCTTAACTGTTTAATCCACGCACTGCTAGGTGTATTAATATCTGCTGCTGCAACACTTTATTTGGCAGCTTTGCAGAGGTTTGACGTATCTTAAAAATCACTGCGGATTACAGTGCACAAGTACACAGGTGCAGGAATAATGCGTGAAAAACAGTCACCGGTTTGGCTTTAAGGTGGTGTAACCAGTGTCTGTAATGAAACGCCGATAAATTGGTTGTCGCAGAATTAGTGTCGTGTCCACAGAGGAGGTTTGAGCAGTGTGTTCTTAGTGCAGACTCAGCGCTCTGGAGCTGATTCATAGCAGCGCTGCTCTACAGTATCCAGCAGGACACCCTGGCAAATATGCTACCTGCCACTCCTCACTTATTGCTGCTTCATCACTTTTCACTGAGCCAGATGCGCTCAGGGTAAACGCTACAACTCTGTAGTAATGGTAACAATAGCAGTCCGGTGTGGGCGGAGTCACTCAAGTTGAGGGTGAAACAGAAAATTCTCACAGCAGAGCAACGCAAGGTCTTACTCAGCAGACAATGTAGTAACACGACAGAGCAGGACCACTATGCAGTATTCTGATACTGATACATAATGTCATGGTTTGGTTCCTCTGTTGCATTACTGACTCATGCCAATAGCTTTTGGACCGTCAGCTTTTATTCAAGGGTATTTTCATTTAGCTTCTTGTGCGTAGTTACAGCGCCTGAAAAACATGAATAGTGGATGACTAAGCCTCATGCAGAAGCACTTAAAGATTAATCATTTCTTCAACATAGCAGACTGCCAGACTGACTGTTAATCATACGTCTCCAGATTTAGTGTTTTTTTCTCAGTATTTTCTGTTAAAACTTGACTGGTTAGAATTCCTCACACAATCATGGTATCGCTTTTAGCAGCAATAATTTGAAGTAAACATTTTCTGTGTGACTTTATCAGTCTCTTACCTTGTTGTGGAGGACTCTTGGCCCACTGTTGCTTCAGTTCATCGAGGTTTGTGGGCATTTATACTCAGCTCTGTTTAGGCCCCAACACAGCATTTCAATCACACTGAGGTCTGGACTTTGACTGGATCATTGCAGCACCTTGATTCTTTTCTTTTTCTGCTGTTTGCTGTTGTGCTTGGGATCAATGTCCAAGTGCATGACCCAGTTTGGGACAAATATTATTTATCAGACAGATGGTCTCACATTTGACCGTAGAATACTTTGGTATACAGAGGAGTTCATGGTCGACTCAACAACCACAAGGTTTCCAAGTCCTGTGGCTGCAAAACAAGCTCCAATCACCACCTCTCTACCCCCGTGCTTGACAGCTGGTTTGAAGTGTTTGTGCTGATATGTGCTTGGTTACTACTAAACATGGTGCTGTGCATTATATCCAAACATCTCCACTTATCTGTCCAAAGGACATTGTTACAGAAGTCTGGTCGTTTGTTTAGATGCAACTTTGCACACCTAAGCTATGGGTAGGGGTACTTGTATCGGTATTGAACCGTTCATACAGTGCTTTCGGTTCGGTACACATATGTATCGAACAATACAAAATCTTAAAAATTTTTTAACAACTTTTCTTCTGACGATGCTGTTTGTGTTGAGAGCTCAGTGGATCTGCGTTCGACTACTTCGCCTAGGCTGCACTGTCAAGCGCAGATCCACTGAGCCCAGCGCAAGCTAGCAAGTTAAGCTCGTTGCAACATAGCAAATTTAACCTCCCCCACCCTCATTCAGATCTGGCGTTTGGAACTATTTTGGTTTTCATGTGACGTATGACCCTGAAGGTAAGCGCCTCATGGACAAAAGTAAAACAGTATGTCGGATGTACCACGCAATGCTCAATTGCATTGGTGGGAACTACTGCGTTAGCGCAGTTAGCTCGTTAACGGAGATTTGCGGCGTTATGGCGTTAATGTCATTTTAACGAGATTAACGCTGACACCACTAGTGGGAACACAACGAATATGACTGCACATTTACACCGACTTCATCCTAGTGCAAAGACAAGTGGAAGCACACAAAAACAACAAGCACACATGCTACAAACTTTACCCGTGTCATTTAGACAGCCGTTAGCACATGATTCTCCTTACGGGGACCTGATATGTTTAATATGCTGCTGAGAATATAGCCCAGAAGAAGCGTATAGTATAGCTTTTATTTTGGAAAGAGACATTTCTCTGTAATAAACTCTCTTTTTCAAAGATGAGCGATTTCTCGATCAGATATATCTTTTTTTATTTTGTTGTTTCAGCAACATTAAATTTAAAACTGTACTTTTGAGTTAAAATATATAGTTATAATTTTAATAAATGACAAATTAAAAAGGCATGAACATTTTTTTTGTATCGAAAAAATATCAAACCGTGAATTTTGTGTATGGTTGCACCCGTAGCCTAGCTGTGGGGTCACGTTCTTTTTGTAACAAAGAGGCTTTCTCTCCAAACAAGCCATATTTGTTCAGTCCTTTTCTGATTGTAGCATAAACCTCAACATTTAACTAACTCAGACCTGCAAATTTTGAGATGTAGCTCCCAGAGTCTTTTTTGAGGTTTCTCTGAGCATTGCATGGTCTGACCTTGGGGTGAATTTGCTAGGATGTCCGCTCATAGGAAGACTAACAGCTGCCTTGAATATTTCCACTTGTGAATAAACTTTCTCACTGTAGAATGAAGGATTTAAATTGATTGCCAGCAATAGTTGCTTCTCTAAGATGGTAAATGGCCTGTATTTATATAGCGCTTTACTAGTCCCTAAGGACCCCAAAGCGCTTTACATATCCTGTCATCCACCCATTCACACACACATTCACACACTGGTGATGGCAAGCTACATTGTAGCCACAGCCACCCTGGGGCGCACTGACAGAGGCGAGGCTGCCGGACACTGGCGCCACCGGGCCCTCTGACCACCACCAGTAGGCAACGGGTGAAGTACCTTGCCCAAGGACACAACAACCGAGACTGTCCAAGCCGGGGCTCGAACCGGCAACCTTCCGATTACAAGGCGAACTCCCAACTCTTGAGCCAAGATCGCTGCTGATGTCGTTCCTCTTTGGCATTGTGTTAATACAACCTCTTAATTCCTTTGGAAGCGATAAAGGTGTAGTTAGTTTTTCACACACATCTTCTACATTTTAGCTCAATTTTAGTTAAATAAATAATGTCATGGTGTAATATGTCATGCTTTGTAATTCACCTGAGGTTTTATTCACCTAAATCTAAGACCAGATGATTTTTATCATACATAAAACCTTAGAATTGCATGGCTGTTATCTGAGTCATTACAAATTTGCCTGAGTTATTCATCACATGCATCAGTCACAGCAACATTTATTTCTGTCCCCATTTTCCCTTCATGTTTAAGTCCATACGGAAACTCATACCCAGAAGCGGAACCCCCAGAGTGTCCACAAGTAATGCTGAGAACGGAGGAAGATGAAAGAAGACTTTTCTGAGTACATTAAATACATTTCTGCCTGTTGTCACTATGAAATACCAAACAGCTGTTTTCTTCGATTTAGTCATTGAATATGTCCTGTTGTAGCAGCAAAGATTATCCCATTTCTTTGCTGTACTGAGATATTTGTCAGATGTAACCAGACAAAACACCTGAGGACCAAACAGGTTGTTTAATTTCTTAATGGGGACAGTTGAATATTTAACTTTAATGCCTTGTGGCAGATCTTAATTTGCAATTAAATATTAAACCATTCTTCTAGTAGGGTAGCATTGGTCCCACGTGTCTATAATGTGGGACGAACATAATTTAGATGTAACTGTTGAAGTGGGAATTACTGCAGTCACTCATTGGCATTAAGTGTGTTTTTCAGATTGTGCTGTTTGTGTTCACTGGTGTTAATTGGTCCCAGAGTGATAATACTCATCAGCTTTAAAATCATACTACATTTTTAGAAGGTTAACAGTATTCATTTTGGTCGTGCACACAGGGAGTGCTGCAGGTTTTTCGGTGACGATGGCCTGACACCGAAGGTGTTTTTCACCAAGGTAGCTCCTTTTGGCCTGCTGTGGATCCTCACCAACTACCTGTACCTGCAGGCCCTCAGGAAGATCAACACAACAGATGTGTCAGCGCTATTCTGTTGTAACAAGGCCTTCGTCTTCCTGCTGTCATGGATCGTGCTCAGAGACCGCTTCATGGGGGTCAGGGTGAGTATATCCGCATGCGTGTGTTTTTTTTTTTTTTCTTTCAAGGGAAAATTATGAGTCTTTAGTTAAGATGTCTAACTCGAGCACAGGACACAGAAAGCAAGGATTTTCACACTGTCCCCTCTTGGCTTGTAAGTTTTATTTGCAGTAAACAAGCTAACAACCAAAAGCGTGTCTTTTGAATTAGTTTTGAAGAATAATTTACTATGTTATATAAAGTCACTATATCCAACAAGATATTTACCCCTTTGTACTTAATGTGGCAAGAGCATAACCACAACTCACCCCCCAGACAGCCAATGAATGATTTCTAATTACATCCTTGTAGGTAATTGGCGAGCTGTGGGATGAGCACATCAATATATATAGATATATATATCAGTATTATATGTTGTAAAGCAGTTTTGCACTATCATCTGTCCCACCATCCTATTTTTAGTGCAGTTGTTCTGTAAAACGGAATTAATAAACTGGAGTTTCTGTTCGATTTTTCATCAGTGGCCAGATACGTTAATGTTATAACATCTGCTCAGGCTTTCATTGGGTCTTTGTTGTCTATGAGAAACAGTAGATCCATAACAAATGACAGCAAAAGGAAATAGAGGCACACTGAGTGTAAATGAAATGGTTGTAAAGTCTAAATATCTTTGCTTTTCCGTGGGTGTGCATGGTGAGCTGCGACGAATGGCTTTAATCGCTCGCTGATGCGGTTGTGAAGAATACTGCAAGCTGCTATCAGCCCGCTCTTCACTCCCACGTTTAGAACGGGCACTGCACTCGTGTATTTTTTGGTGAGATGTTTGAGCGTCCCATTTATCTTGAATCTCACTGATTATGACGAAACTTATTTAAGATAAGAGCGTGGCCAATATTGGCCCCACAGGCTGACTGTCACACGTTGATTTATGTGATTTATGACTACGTCCACCAAACCTTTTATTTTTTTTCCTTCCTAGATTGAATCAGTTTGATTATGTTCAGATCCCCAAAGATACAAAAGTATCCTGTTCATCATGAGACACGAGACAAGATTGGGGGGAAGGCAAATCTTTATTTTGTGTAGCAGGAATTTTTCTTTCTTCTCTCTTCCTTACAGGAATATAAATGCCTCCAGGACTTATCTTGTAAACCGATGCACACGTTTGGGTCATGATCCCAAGTTTGATATGGACAGATTAAAAAATTATCTTTGTTTTTCTGTATTGTTTATTATATTTTGAATATTACAGTATAATCTTATGAAACCTACTCTTTAACATGACTCTACATGAGATGGCAACATACCTCTGATTACTTTATGACTGGACCAAAAAGAAAAGAGGTATTTTCATCATCTCCATACTGGCATTTGAACCCATACATTACAAGAAAGCGGTAAATCCCTTGGAAAATCTAAGGACACTTTATGCATTGACTGTAGAGACTTCTCAGTCACAGTGGCCCACCCTAAAGCAGACCCTGATTTACTCTTCTTTTGGCTTTTATCAGGATCATACTTTCCAACTCTTACTAAACTTAGAACAGATGATTGACACTATAAACTTATCAGGAAAGTGCTTACTGAGGTCATGATGTCATAGATGTTTACTTTACAACCAGATTTCTTTTTGAAACCAGAGTTGCTGCCACCTACTGGCAGATTTAAGGCAATCCTGCAGTTTTACCTTCTTAGAAGCTGCACTCATCTCTAATACTGTCTTCTCTGGTCAAATGTGCATTTTTAACTGCAAGTTTTTATACCAAACTCAGTTTTACACTTCATCAGCCATCATGACAAAAAAAAGGTCTCTAATCTGCAAAGAAATGCAAATTTGTGATGATTTTCTTTGACTGAATTTCCATTTGAATCTGTGAGCTACACACACAGCACGGTTGAGTAGAGAGCAGGTTATGAGCACCACGGGATGATTACCTACCGGTGATCACAGTGTCATTCAAATGTGCTTCCTGGTCTGTGCATGTGTGTGTTAGCCGGCAAGTTTGTGACTGATAAAGACAGAGAAGCAGGACAGTAAGGGGTTACTTACCTTTGTGAATTAAGATATCGGTTTATCTCCTCTCACTGTACGCCTCAGATGCTTTCACATCTGCAGCCGTCCCGCACTTTGCACGATGCCCCCCCTTTTTCCTCTCACACACTCACAAGCACCCCGTCTCTCCCTTGTGTATGCCCCGACTCGTCACCCCCATTATTTGTGATGAAAAGCCTCGGTAAGAGACAAGTACAGTAATAGTCCCGCTTCACTCACTCGCTTACACGCCCTCCCCTCTCTTGCTCTCTGTTGCCTGGTAGTAAGGATTGCAGTGTTTGGATGTCTGCAGTAATGCAGGGGAACTTGAACAAGTATTTCATGAAAGTGAAGGAGGAGAAACAGAAAGGGAAGAGAGAGAGAGCGATGAGGGGGATGCTGCATCAACCTTGTTAAACAGGGAGGTTTTTTTCAGTGGTACTTTGTGGATAAAACCGATGACTAGCTCCACTCGGTGGTTTTTTTTTCTGTGTGACCCATGTTTAGATTTATGATTTGTAAAAAGTGCAAGGTCCACGTGCTGCAGTTACGCCACCGTAATGACATAAGCTACCCACCGGACTAATCGGTCACGCCTGCTCATTGCAGAACAAGTTTGGGTGAAGCCACAGTCCTTCCTCCCTCTGACTCTCCACATTGTGCTGAAACATCTTAAATTGTTGCTGACGCCGTGAGCAAATGGCCATTTTCTAAAATGAAAGGTGTAGCAGTGACTGACAGGCAGCCTGCAGTGCAGAAAGAGACATTTAGCCAGACTTGCTTAAGGTGCTTTGGCCAAGCAAAAACACGCGGCTCATTTATCTTCCCGACACCTCCTTAATGCGGTGCTAATCCACTCAGCTGGGCTGCACCGTAGCCCCATCACTGCTGTACAGTTCTCACATATACACTATGAACATATAACCCAGACAAACCAGATTTTAATGCAATAAAACACAAGAGGTTTGCCTTTTACGCATCACAGTTGACCCCGAGCAGGGTGAAGCTGATGGATTCTTGCCATCTTGAAGCTGTGATAATTGCAGAGGCGGGGAGTGGTGTGAGGGGGGATTTGGTTTGTAAACACGATGGCTTTGTAACGGAAATCAATGTCACACAATCAAGCCAACACTGTAAAAGCTGCCTGTCCTGTGTTGGAAGCGCTTACAGGGTGAATCTGAGAGCAGGTCCTTTCTGCACTGCATGTAGAAAATGTAAATATCAAATGAAAAGCTTGTTTACTATGAAATAACAACCCACCCACTAATTAGGCTGCTTCAAGCCTGGTTCTGTGAGGCTTGTTATTTCTGCACTGAATGACAAAGCTGAGGCCATGTGGGCCTGCTGTGTCCCTCCGCGGCGGTAAGGGGATAAGGTGCCTTTTTCACCAAACTGTGAGCAGCATGTTGTCCATCCTTCCCTCACTATTGCTCTCTCTCTCTCTCTCTCGCTCTCTGTATAGATAGTAGCTGCTATCTTGGCCATAGCAGGCATCGTAATGATGACCTATGCCGATGGATTCCACAGCCACTCGGTCATCGGCATTGCTTTGGTCGTGGCCTCTGCTTCGATGTCAGCGCTCTATAAGGTATTTGCTGTGCGATACTGCAGATTTTGATATCGATGTGATATCAACTAAATCCAGGGCCAACATTGATGATATCGATACTTTTAAACTACAAAAGCAGCTTATGATTTATGAGATGAATCATCATCAAGTGATATAACAAAAACACACCTTTCAGCTACTCGTGCATATTGAAGCTGTCCGTCTCTGAAACACTTTGGGTTCTGTTGTTTCCGTGTGCTGTAGTCTATACACAAAAAAGGACATTTTTCATATTGCATGTTTGAGGTATACTTTTCCACACAATTCAGTGAGCTACATACTGAACTTGGAGGACATTCTTTTATGCTAGTATCGATCCGATACAATGCCAACGTTGGTATCGATACTATCGGTATTTAGATCGATCCGCAAAACCTCTAGGATTTGATTGCATTTCTCAGTGTGTATTGTACCGCTGAGCATAAAGTTCCATTGTAGCGCCACTTCTATTCACGGTGGAATAAAAAATAGGTAAGCATGCTGTATGTATGGACACGTCTCTGTAAGTTGCCCTGTCTAGCTCCCTTCTAATTATGTAACCAGGTGGCAGAAGACAGAAGGGGATTATGTAGTGTGAGACTCACCTGCCAGAAGTACGCAATACCTACGCATTTGGTTGCAGGCCTCAGGCTGTGTTACCCTGATCAAGGAGGTTACAGGACAGATATTATATAGCTATGTTTTGACAGGGTCTGGTCTCCTTTGCCCTGCTGTCTGTGCCGCCCTAATGTGATAAACAGACAGCAGTGGCCCTGGGCCAGAGACATGGCAGGTACTTGGCAGGGTTTGCCCTCTGTAATATACCTCAGCTCCTGAAGAGGGCAGATTCGATGTATGCATCACTCTCCTTCCTCTTTATTCTCAGGTGCTCTTTAAGATGGTGCTGGGAAGTGCCAAATTTGGAGAGGCTGCACTCTTTCTGAGCATCGTTGGAAGCACCAATTTTGTTTTCGTCAGCTTTGTGCCAGTCATGCTGTATTTTACACACGTGGAGTACATCGAATCACTCAGAGACATCCCATGGGCCTACCTCTGTGGGGTCGCAGCCCTGCTTTTCGGTATATGGCGACAGAGCAGTAATGTGCACCGGCTGGTTGTGTAATCTACAAATAGCAACATTCTCATCGTGTAGTCCGCTGCTGCTCTAATTCTGCTTTGTTCCTACAGCTTTCAACGTCCTGGTGAACTTTGGCATCGCGATAACATACCCGACATTAATTTCCCTTGGCATTGTCCTAAGTGTTCCTGTAAACGCCAGTAAGTCTCCTGGCTTTCCTCTAAGAGTGCTAGCTTTTTATATCTGGTCACCATTTAATATTTGATGGCACTGGATTCTCCCAAAGGTTTCTATCTATATTTGATGAGAGACTCCATTTAATTTTCAAACCAGGCTCCCTCTCGATGTACAACTAACCATTTTTATTTCATAAACACGCACAGTTACAATTTACATTCATTTACATAAACCCAGTTGTTCCCTTCTATTGACACAGTACCTATTTATTTATTTGTTTTTTTACAGTGGTGGACCTCTACACGTGTGAAATTCACTTTAACTCGGTGCGCCTCATTGCTGTGTTCATCATTTGCTTGGGTTTCCTAATGCTGCTGTTACCAGAGGACTGGGACCAGTGCATTATCCAGCTCAGCCAGAAGCTGCGCAAACGTGACGAGCCAGCAGAGGGCAGCGGAGAGGCCGGAGCTGGCACAGGGCTCAACTGGAGAGGGAGAGCCAGGACCTCCATGTCAACATATGCACTTTGAATATATGAAATATCATCACACAAACACATATACATGAGGTGGGAGGGAAATGAGGGGTGTTAACCCACGTGATCTGCCTGGTTCCTTGCCTTTTGGACTGCCCTCTGATCTGCAGCTTTTCAACCGAGGGGAAAGATCGCGTTTCATTCATTTGGCATCATTCTTGCTCACAAGTTAACCAAGTCGGTGCATGGACTTCTATCATTTGTAATCCTTAAAATGATCAGGTATAACTGATTGAACCATGCATTAATTTTGCTGTACCTCTTAATCATTCCTCTGATTCCTCGCCTCTGGGAAGACTCGCCAACTTGCCTGATATATTTCAGTGAGGAGGAATAAAGAGGCAGACATCTCTCAAGGCAGCCCTAACACCTTGTAGACCAGCTGGCTTTAACATGTACACATTTACACACCTCTAAGATCCAAAGAAGAATGCCTACAAAGCTGAATGCCTGAAAACAGAACACGAGGCCCGGTAGCCTTCTGCGGGTGTAAACTTAGTGACAAATACCTGCCTTTTGTGCACTTGTACATAGCTATATTTCACACCTTGGATGTCCCAGAGCTGTGGACCTGTGAAGCTCATCTGGTGTGAAGGGACCTGTCTGGACGTCTGAGGATCAGTCTGGGCTGAAGAAGCTTTCACAATGTGTCTCTCTATTCACTCTTAGAGAAGAGGTCAGTTTCATTTCATCCGCACTGATTGGCTCCCCGTGGTTATGTGCTTTCCTTGGGCTAGACTCCCACTTCTGTCAACACTCACTCATTGTTCGGGCCCCACAGTTTAGTCACGCGATATCTACATTCGCTTTCAATGCATTATATCATTGAGGTGTTTGTCAAACAGTGGGATTGCTTTCAATCCATCCACAAAGCAGTTGCCTAACACTTGCTTTATGTTGCCAGCACACCAGTAGGAAATAGCGTGAACATTTTATTAAGCAAGCAATTTAAACAAACACATTCAAATATTGTTAAAAGCTTTGATATCTCAAAATAAGACTGACAGGTTAATGGAACTACCCCTTTAATTACTTTAAACACAGCTATCTCTGAGCCTCTCTTTTAACATTTTAGTATCATATGCACACAGACAAATGTGCAGCAGTTCAATTACATCGTTTCATTTCGCGTGGGAATTACAGACTGGAAAACTGTCCCACTGTGGCTTGAGGAGAGGAGTGCTGACACACGGCTCTTCTAGTGTTCAAAAAAAAGAAGAAGAAAAAAAGAAACCTTTGTCTGCTTTCGTTTATCACATTTCTGAGGCAAGCATCACAGCCACCATGGTGTGGTTGACCCCCGAGAGAAACTGAGGTGCACGCCTTGTAAAGCAACGGTGGAAACTCTGCCTTGTTGTGAATGTACGAACATCACTCGACCACACACACGCTCGCAATGTGCTATCTGTTTTTTACAGTGCCACCACAGACTGCTGCACAGAGACTGTTTAATACTATCCTTCTTATACTCATCTGAACGATTTTCTTTTTCCTTCTTTCTTTATTGAGACAAACTTGACACGTTTATATTTGTTTGCATTTGGTTGCCGACTTAACCTTGAGAAGACAGCGAGTGACGTCTTGCAGAACGAGCATGCACGTACTGTACGAGCAGATGCAGCCGAAAAAGTCCACTTCACTGCCTTTTCTTTGTTTCGCAATAGAGTACATTAGCACTGTTTCCCATTGTCATTCTGTATGACAATAAATAATAATAATGTATTCCTCTGGAATTATTGCTAGACATAAATGTAAACCTTTGTAAGGAATGATGATTTTTACACTGAGATGCAACATATGATTATCACATTTGAGGAGGAGATGTTCCGAACATGAATAAATGACGGGTTTATTAGAGCTACTGTTGGGTGTCTTCAAGTGTAATCACATGTACTATATAAAAATATTTCTTTTCAATACATTTCCTTGTCGAGGTTTTTTTTTTCTTGCCAAAGAAAGTCATCAAGTAAACAACTGAGTGACAAACCAAACAATTTGGCAAGGTTTAGCAGGTGTTGGGTGAGACAGCACACTTAAAATTAAATTTAAAAAAAAAAAAATCAATGAACCTGGAAACCAATTTAGAAGTACACTGCTTTTTTTTTTGTTATTTATATAAACAACTGTAGTCTTGGTTACAAATCAGTCTGATTTGAGCTTATAAGTCTGAGTTATCCAATAAAGGCAAACTAGAAACCACAATTAGCTTAGCATGCAGGTATCTGTGGAAACGTAACCCAAACAGGCAAGGAGGAGATGATGCAGACTCCACACAGAAAGGTGCCTGAGACCTTGGATAGTCCAGTGACTACTTCCATTTTTTTAATTCTAGGACAAATGAATTATTTGTTAGCTTTGATTTTTTTTTTTTTTACTGATCTTCTGTGATAATAACGTCAGTTTGCTTGGGTTGAAGACTGGTGGTCAGACAAAAAAAAAAAAAAGGGAGATTAATCAGAAATTAGGTCAAAATGGGATGGACATTTCCATTTTTCTTACATTTTCTTGACCAAACAATCAATTCATTGCCGGATAAAAATAAAATAATAAAATAGTTGTTAACTGTGGTCTCATGTCTGACGCCACGGGTATCCTGACTAAGTAATATCATGCTCAACTCTCACTGTTATCTGGCCATAGAAAAAAGTGGCCTGCCGCTCCTCGGTCACAGCAGAAAAAGGTAGTCTGCTGCCCTCTTGTGGCCGGGAGGGGACCTGCAGGCAGTCTGCTCTCCTGTCACTTGATGCATCTTGCCACGTAGACCTCTTTTGAGGATGACACACACTGCACAGATGTTTCTCAGACTGATGTTTGAAGTCGGTGCTGACTGTGAAAATGGAGTGAGAACACAATGATCTGTTGCTCTCAGAGCTGGAGGCCAGCCCGGGATGGGTTGTGGTCAGCGTGCTGGGCTCGCTGCTCCTTCCATCGTCTCCCTCTGGTCTGAGCTCATTTCCCCTTCCCACTACGCTCCCCAGACGAATGCTTATTTTTTGCCTGAGTCCCTGAAGAGCGTTTTGGAAACGCTTGCTAAGCAGTGCGTACAGTAGAGGATTGATATCAGAGTTCAACAGCACCAGCCAGTAGGAGAAAGTAACAGCAGAGTTTGGGACTAGGGTGGACTGGCCTGAAATTGCAGTTTCTGTGGCCTGAACAAGGGCCACGCTTATGTAAGGGGTCCAGCAGAGGAAGAAGGCTGCGATGACCATGAAGAGCCGGACCACACCATGGTGGCTGTGATGCTGCTGGGAGTTCTGGAGAGGAACTTGGGAGGCACTTTGAGCCAGGAAGGAGAAAAAGCGCCTGGACGCCGACCTTCTCTGCTCTGTGGTAGCTTCAGGAAGAGCATCGTTGATATAATCTTCTTCCCCTGTACCAACTTGAGACACAAACTGTCCACTTATGTGGTAGATCAGTGTCGATGGGGTGTGGTGGCACCCGCTGTGCTGATTGGAAGAATCCCCAGGAGCATAGTCTGGGAGAGTCCTGCAGCGCTGCACGGAGTCCTCGAGAGTGTGGATCCTCCTGGCGTGGCTGCGGGCCACCTTGACAATGTTCACGTAGCAGAAGAGGATGACCACTGCAGGTAAGACGTACGAGAGGAAAGCCATGAAAGCGGTGTAACTAGGACTGCTGGCCCAGTTCACTGCACAGCTGTACATGGGGTCCACATAGCTGACTGAGCTCCAGCCCAGCAGTGGGGGGCAACTGGTGGCCAGCGCCTGCAACCAGATCCACAGGACCACAGCACAAATTCTCCACAGGGTCCAGCGGGAGCTGTAGCGCAAGCAGTCTATGATGGAGTGGTAGCGGTCGAGGGCAATGGCAGCCAGGGTGAGTACAGAAGCTGTGCAGTACACAGAGGAGGTGTAACCCACATACGAACAGAGGTCCTGTCAGACAGAGACACAACCTCATCACACGTGCACACAGTGGAGCAAAGCAAAAACGCCGTTTCCGGTGTTGTGCCAAAAACTGATTGCCTGCCAAAAACTGATTTCCAATGTTTGCGTGTGTTTTTTAATGTGTAACATCGTTACGTATGTTGCTAAACAGACTTTGGTGAACAGGTATTACAAAGGGGTTATATATAAAATTACAAAATTGCCTGTTTCTCAAGTATCTTTGTGACTGTGTTATTGCACTTACATTATAATCAATCAGCTCCCTTTTGTCCACGTAAAATATATTTACAGAACTATTTTCGCATTTGTTGCAATTCCAACTGTCCTCTTGGCCAGATTGCTCTTAAAAGAGACATTTTTCAAGTCAACAATATTTTTTTTTAACTGCATACATAAAGGATACATAAAACTCACTGCCAAAAACTGATTGCGGCTTCTACCTTGTTACAGGAATGTTGTTTGTTGCTCAAGATGACGTGATATCATTCATGAGGGATACATTTGACATATGTTTCACATATGAACCACCAACGAGTTATTTATAGCAGTTTAAATTACAAGCAATCACTTTTTGGCACAAAATTTAATCACGCTAGACTGGACACGGATGACGTACCGTGCAATCCACCCATCCACGGTTCATGACGGACAGGGCAACAAACGGCATGACCCCGATACCCACCAGGAGGTCGCTGATGGCCAGGTTCATGATGAGCACCGACGTCACCGAGTGGAAAGTTTTGGTTGCAGCCACAATAACAATAACAAGAATGTTGCCTACACAGAAATACAACAACACAAGCACAAACACGCCGTGACACACGGGTCAGACTAGTGGGTGGATATTAAAAAAAGTATTTGTTTTATTTGTGACTCAGACAGAGAGGCAGAAATTAATTAATTCTAATTAGTGGATACTACAAGCACTATGTTAACAGAAGATCCTATAAACACCTAAAATACTGAAATGCAGGTAAATTTACCTTTAACAAATCTTTAAAGCTCTACTGTGTCAATCAATGAATTGTTCTGGTACTGAAAGTGCTTTTTTTCCACTTTATGGATATGAGAAGATCACAAAATTTTTAGTAATTAAAATACCTTAATTGGCAATTAAGTATCAGCAGATGAGTCTGTACCTGTCACGGCGCCCAAACACATCAGCACCATGAGGATCTCCAGGACCAGCTGGGTCTGCTTGGACACCCCCAGCTCCGAGCCTTCAGTCCAGTTTGCACTCACAGTAGTTGCTACCTGCAGGAACAACCTGGGCTCCAACCAGGAGCCACCCGGATCGTCCATATCCCAGTCAAATAACTACTATCCTCACATGATGAGTCGAGTACAAGCCCGTCTCCACAGGAAAATACACAACTGTTATCGCATGTAAGCTACTCCATCTGCTCCTGCTCTGCCCGGAAGGTCTGCAGGTTTTAAGGGGAGGGAGGGGGACGTATGAGCACCTGCTGTACCTTATTTAACTCTTTCAGTGCTGAATGTGTTATAGAAAATCACAAATCATTAAATACAGGTCAACATAAAAAACAAGAGTCATGTTTATTTATACATTTAGAAGAATCCAAGCAGTATTTAAAGATTAAGTACATCTCATTGAATACTGTCATTATAATTCAGTCCCAAAGCTCCATAGTCAGCCTCCAAAGGGGAAAATTTCCATTGATGCTTTGGCTCTTCTAACACAGACATTGTCTTCATTAATATGACAGCAAGCAGAGTGGAACATTTAGACATAATAGCCAGGGCAGATCTTTATTCATGACTCTCATTAAGGCCTGAGAGCAGCGCCGATGGCTCCTGACCACGCTGTCTCGACAGAAAGCCCTTGAGGTCATGATGTGAAGAAGCTTTACGCCTTCATTTAAAGTCTCCCCAGGAAATACTTTTCTCAGGAGATCGGCAAGAGAGGTCAGCATCAGGTGTCTTCATCAGCTGCGTTTTGAGTCGACCTCTGCCGAGCCAGAGCTGAGATGTTGTCGCGTGTATTCCCAGATTAACAGGGCAGCGCTCACGTGCACGTTGAGTGAGCGGATGATGCCTTGTTGAGGGATCTCCACGCACACGTCCAACATTTGGAGTAAGTTGGCAGGAATACCTTCACGTTCATTGCTAAAAGGAAGAAAAATAAAGAGGGGAAAAGAGTGAAGAATGTAACAAAGCATACATAAATATCTAACACTAAAATTAATTTCATTCAGATGAATCGTCTCTAATTCAATTCACATAAAAGGAGAGCACCATAAATCTTTACTCAAATCCAGTTTAACCTCTTGAGAAAGGCCACTCACTATATTTTCAGCAAGTGGAGCATTTGGGATATGCTACTATCTTATAACTAAATTACACCTCAGTTAGCGAACTTGCTGCGCATCCTTTCCACAAAAACTTCTGTGAAATCATCCTGCACAGCATGCAACTAGTGAGTATACTATTCAGTTCAATTATATTTATATAGCGCCAAATTACAACAACAGTCACCTCAAGGTGCTTTATATTGTAAGTTAAAGACCCTAAAATAACAAGAAGAAAAACCCGACAATCAGCCGATGCCCTATGAGCTAGCACTCATAGAGAAGCGGGAAGGAAAAACTCCCTTTTTAAAGGAAGACACCTCTGGCAGAACCAGAGGTTCAGGCTACGTCCACACTAGCCCGTATAGATTTGAAAATGGCGTCTTCGTCTAAAAACGCTCCGCGTCCAGACTATCGTTTTCAGTCGTTTTCACAGAGTTATGCGTCCACATTGAAATGGCCGAAAACGCTTACGTTCCAGTACAGCGCATGCGTGAAACGCAAGAAGATTTGGCCTGCCTCGTTTAGTCTGCCGTTTATTTACTTTCCGGCTCTTTAAAACGTCGCGGCAAAATGTTGAGGAAAAGCACCGAGTTTTTTTAAAATGGACTGACAATGAGGTGGAGTTGTTGCTGCGAGAAACCCAAAAGTACAAAGTTGCAAAAGCGATTGAGAATTAAACAATTTGAAGAAAAGCTATCTGATGCATGAACAGACTGATATTAATCTTTAACAGGGCTGTCAAAATTGAGAGCAAACAAAACAACTGCTGTATAATCCCCTCCGCTATCTTAGTTTAATTGGTCACATGACTGTTTTCGAAAAGGCTCCGCTGTCCACACTGCCACATGAAAACGCCGTTTTCAAATCTATCCTCTTTGGAGAGCATTTTCAAAACGCTGTGTTTTCCTTGACTGAAAACACCGTCTCAGTGTGGACGGAAGGCCAAAACTAAAACGTATTAGTGTGGACATGGCCTCGGGGGGGGACAGCTGTCTGTCATGATCATTTGGGGGTGAGGATAGAGCGACGGGACAAAGAACCAGAGATTAATAACAACAACTGATGATTAAATGTACGGTAGTGTCTACTGCAGCTGATGCTTTTTTTTTTTTAAACTTTCCTGTGGCTTTGTGACGCTACCCATATCATTTCATTTAAGAGCTCTTACCAGGATCAGCCTTCAATTTCTCAAGTCTTTGCAATTATGAGTGAAAAAGCTCTTAATACAGACAGCTAATGAGTGCAAGTCCAATTCAAACTGTAATCAAATGAGCTCCAGCAATACAGGCCAAGCAAAGCAAACGCAAAGACTTAATGACTTTGACCCAGTCTCTACTGAGGGTGCTGCACAGTAAGAAAGCGTGATTTGATGAGCTACATTTATCTTCGCTGTGAAAGTGGGTGACATAATAGCAACCTGATGAGAAATTACAGCTTGGCCATGCTGCGCTGAGGAGAGCGCAGCTGTGAAAGCACTCGCATGGGTGCTTAAGCTAACAGCGCTGCTCGCACCTCAGTTGCCTGAATGGTGAACAAAACCAGACACCCACACAGAAGCCAGCACTATTACTCTCTCCCTCTCTGCCAGGGCAGCTGCACAGAATGAGGCTGGCTGCTAAAAAAATCCTGTCACGCAAGCTTCTAATGCCTCAGTTTGCTACAAACTGTAAAAACAAATACACGCACCGACTAGGAATAATTAATAGGAATAATTGGGCCAAAATTAAGACATTTCTCAATCATTGCACTGCTTGTGCTGTTCTGTATAATTCATGGCTTTTCCTCTGCTTCTCGGGGACAGCCAATTATATCTCAGCATGCCCAGACAGGTACACAATTGAGAGGAGATGTGCAAACCCCACAGGGACGCACACTAAACTGGCGAGATAAAATGAAATGGCCTCGTCAGCGCTAACCGTTATCTATGTGACAGTCACAATGGCATGGGAACACTGAGGCCTGCGTATGTTTAGGCACAGCTGGTTGGGTTTAGGGAACTGAATGATGGAAAAACACCACACAGAGCCTTTTTGGACTGTGACAAAATTAAAAGCTGCCGTACCCTAAAAGCAACAGGGTCTTTTCAGGGAACTGGTACTCCTGGAGGCTGTGACTGTTGGCTGTTTGCTCCACTCCCACAATGCAGTAACCTTCACTCTTCTTCACCTGCAAGAATTCAGTGAGCTCCATTGGCTTCACCTAAAGGACAGAAACAGTGTAAGATTTTAGAGATTGTTTACACAAATATTCTTTTAAAACAACAATTCCAACAATCAAGCTGTGATAAACTGTCCTCGTATATTTATAAGGACGGTAAATTCAGTACCCTTCTGCTACAGACTTTCATGCTGTGATATCAACAGCAGATTTTTCTGCTCCTTACAGTGGATTAAAAGATGTTTCAGACCAATTTAGTTTTTCCTGAGGAAATGCACCAGTTGCCTGGAATTAAATTGAAAGCACTTTTACATCAATACCAGATGTAGGGCAAACTTGCATACAAATCTTAAAAAGACTTGAGCTCAGTTTAGAATGTGAGATTTTATGACTTGAACATCATCACAGCAGCAGGATACTGCATCCAATACTGCATCCTCTCTGAGAGGAGCTTTGTGCAATTTACACAGCTGGCCCAGAAGATCTATTAGTCACTTACATCCCTTTTTTGCACGTATTCACAGGTTCTACAGTAAAGATCACAGGCAGTCGTGCTGAGAATGATCGAGCATTTTTAATTTTCAGCAAAAGTCCAAATATTGTTTCCTCCAGGGAATGATGTATCAAATTGTCTGTGACAGTCTCCAGTTTTGCTGCATAATACAATCATATATTCTAATTCTAACATATATGGCAAGCACTAAAAAACCCACCAAAACCCATCACAAGGCAAAAAAAGAGCTTAATGATGACAAATGGTCTGCATGTATATGTACCTTAGAGTGTTCCCTGTGTTTTAGTCACACTTTGTGCTGAGTTGCCATCAAAAGCAACCTGGAGTTGAGTTTCTTCAGGATATTTCAAAAACATTTACCACTTTATCACCTGACTCACTGCTTCATCGCAGTCAGTCACATTTTATTACACTGAGCCCAGAAGTTACTGCTCACTATTTATTGTACTCAATATAAAAAACATTTTTACTTTTATTTAGTAGTGCTGTCAGAGTTTTGTGAACCACTGTTTAAATTAAATACATGTATTAAAAAGGCCTCTATATTCAGAGTGTTATGGTACATCCATCATTAAAATTCCCAAACAGTACAAAAAGAATGAACCTTTTAGACACGTGGGCCTTTAAATACAGAGCTACTGTAACTCTCAATAATGCATATCTACGGATTAACTGAATAAACAGCATTATTTCTACTGCTGTCTGGATATTCTGTGTGTGTGTGTGAGATCCTGACAATCTATTTTAACCTTAATCTAACCATGTGCACTTTTCGTCAAAATAAGTTTATTTTCTGCACATCACCTCTAACAAAGGAAGCCACAGCTCAGCTGAGACGCTCAGGGACTGGAAGTTTTTGTCATTCACGTGGCGGAGGCTATCCAGAACCAGAGCGCTGGCACCGAATATTTCACAAGTCCGGCAGAGACCTGCAGCGACAAAGACAGTATGTTTGATTTGGGTGGGGTTTTTTTTTTAAAATAAAAATGCTCCATGACACAGGAGGTTAATAAAAAGACTGTTCCAGTTTTGAGTTTCCTAGAACACCACTGTGTGTACAAAGAGATGCAAATTGAGTCTGGGATTCAAAGTAAAACATTTACAGAAGGACCAGGCTAACAGTCTTTCTTGCATTACACAGTATCAATATTGGCTTAAAAAATCTTTTTCCTCTATAAACAAATTCTCATTGTGTTCGTGCCTTATCACCTGAGACAACAGCACTCGAGTACACTTCCAGAGAACATATATTATGTGCTTGATGAAGGCAGGTGCAAAACCGTGTAAAACCAGATAAGATGGTTCAAATGGATGTGTTTCTCTGTTCTTCTATATCATTGTTACGAAACAGAAATACACTGACATTGTGTAAGGGGTTTGTGCAGGGGGAGGGGCTTCCACACAAGGTAAAACTGAGAGCAGAGATCCAGGGAAGTGCAGAGTCATTTCAAGTCATTCTGGAAAAGCAGCTCTCATAATCTAGCTAAAAGGAGTTTTCACTTGTGGTTTCGAAACTCCTGATTGGCTGCATTTAGGACATAAGGGCAATATGAGTCAATTGTGGTCATGCTACTCGCGACCTCAAGTTCTCAATCTGTGGAAACTGCAGTAAAATTGTGGTGCTCTCAAAATAAACAATAAAAGTAATAAAAGTTGGTTAAATGATTTATTATTTAACAGCTCACTTTGTGTTTACTAGCAGCAACACGCACATGTTGTGTGTATATATCTCTACAGCTGTCTACCTACTGTCTACATGTGAGGTGTTCAGGGGCCATCTGTAAATTGCAGCTGCAGAAAACAACTCTGCTTACTCGCTCCCTAAACGTAACCCGTACTAGTAACCAAAAATGTACAATAATACATTGATGTGTGGTGCTCCTGACCTCCCAGATTGGTGGGCTTGTCGATAAGCGAGGCCACAACCAGCAAGGCACCGTGCAGTTTTCCCAGTCTAGCAGCCCTCTGTGGTGGAACCAGCTGAAGTTCAGGCTCCTGCTCCTGGATGCCCAGTCTCCAGGGCGTGATCTTCTTTTGCACCTCAGCCCAGCGTTCCTCCTTATCCTGCTCACCTGGAAGACATAAAGCCATGACGGTCAATAAGAGAAACCTTATCACTGACTGGTGCTTAAGAGTGTTACTACTACTACTGCTACTACTGTACTTCTGTCTTGCTGGATCCAGTCTCCAGGTTGAAGCTGGTTCAGATCAAGAGCAGGATTTCTCAAAGGCAAAGATGGACCTTCTGAGAAATATGAGAGTTTCTCAAATTTCCAGGGTGGTATCCACTCATCATCAGCCAACTCAGAAAGACTGGGAAACGTACAGAATATTGTCTAGGAAAGCAAAATAAGAAAGAAAACAAGCATGTTAGACTGTGTTACTATATTTTAGCAGGATTTAATTGCAAAATAGCGTACCTCAATACTGTAATCCCTGATTGGATGAAAGGCACCAAAGAAGAAGTGCTCCTGAATCCTCGTCCAGTTTTTGTTGGCATTTCTACATGTGAGACAGCAAATATGTACTAAAGCACATTAGCCTGATGCAAAGAACAAAACCTGCCAACATTTGAACCGCTCTGCTCTCACCCAGTGCTCTGCATGGCTTCAGCCTGGTTCAGACAGGCCTTGATCACAGAGGAAAGCCCCCCTAAACCATCTGCCTCTTCCACGTGGTTTTCCGCCAGGCTCCACACCCTTTTCAGAGCCAGTAAGGCATACAGGCGCACGCTGAAGTTATGGTTAAAACACGACTGCAGGATGACGTCTAGTGCTTTTCGCAACTGCGCCGCCTTAAGATATAAAAGAAAAAACACAATGTGAATACTCAAGAGTTGATAATAAAAACAAATACTGTCTGGGTGGGAAAAAATAATTAGAGATACTACCTTTTCTTCAAGATTAGGAAAGATGACACTGAAATGTACGAGAACAGATAAGAAAGTGCAGACGCTCGTCTTAGTCTTTTCGTGATCCTGCACAGAAACAAGCACCAGAAGTGGTTTATAATTTAATTTAGAATGAAAAACCATTCCCTCCAGTTCTACAGAGTTTGAAAGAGCTGGAGCTCACCAGGCTGAAGCAGGACCAAAAGCTGTCAGTGTGTTGTGGATATCGGACAAGGATCAGAATCATCATCCATTCGATCAGGTACTTGACAGAAGCCTGGTTACTGCAAAATCCCGCTTCAAACACACGACCCCACAACGTGGCAACAAACTCCTGCAGATGAAAGCGCAGTCACTCACAGAGAGGATCAGTCGATCCTGGAAGATTTAAGGTGAGTGTGTGACTATCTTACCTCTCGGAGTTTGGGCAGCAACAGCAGCAGTGTTTGCCATACTCGGTTTTTAACACGATGTTGCAGGGAGTTGCTGTAGTAACGCACTTTTGACCTTGATATATCATTATCCTGTAGAAATGAAACAAAAATCATGGGAAAGGATGCAAAGTGGTTGTAACTGCTACTTCGCCATTTATTTAAAAGAATCAGGAGCTCATCTGGTCCACAATCCATCGCAATTCCCAGGTTATTGCCCATAAAACGACAAGTGTCACCTTGATCTTGAGCAGAATTTGGGTGAACATCTATGAGATGATCATTGTGTGACCAAATTATGACCAAAACTGTGGGTTAATAATTCTTGTGAACTGTGACAGGATGGACGGATAACAAATCCTCGCCGTGGAATAAGCTCTAAGGCTAATTCCGCATTCTGATTTTCTTTGAAAGCTGTGAAAGAGTTTAACTTCAATTTAATGCCTGTATATATTAATTTGCATATATTTGTGAGCTCCAATCAGTCACAACTGATGGATAAAAAGTAGAAAAAACCAAAACTATCATCATACAACGATCCACTTTGGAAGTTTGATTGCTGGCAGTCATGTAGACCTGGAGTCTCACCACACCACAAAAAAACCCAAAACACACTGCTGTGAACCTGACAAGGCCAAACGCACCTTTTTCAACAGCTCCATTGCCACTTCCTCCATTAGTCTTTGATGCTGGAGATTAGAAGAATCCAGGTGGCACAGGAAAGCCAGAACACATGTGCGAGGCAACTGATCATCTCTGTTATCACTGGAAAATAAAAACAGTTGTTCAGCTGTGGAAACATCCACACAGCAAGAGAGACCTCTAGTGGCACTATTATAAATCATATCAATAAGAAGTGAGCTGTCACTGAATTGTTTACCTCGTTACTGCGACATTAGCTGCACACTTTTCACCAAGTTGCTCCACATATATTTGGACATCCTGGACGAGTCTTGGAAAGAGCACGATTAAATAGTTAAAACAGCTCTAAGAAGCTACTAAATAAATGTGAAAAATGCGGCTAAGCCTTACCGTTGATCTCTCCTGAACACTGGACCGTAAACACAAGCTTCTGTAATTATGCTGATGTGGTTGAAAATACTAGAAAACACCGTGTCGGCCTGGTCACCGCTGCCTCCACCTGCAGGCAGCCACATCTGACAGCAGTGTTGAAGCAGTACGCCAAAAACTCCACTCTTTGACTGAGACAACTCCATCAGATCACGGGCGATCTAAAAACAAACACAGACACAACAAATATTAATATTTCATTATTGAAATTACATTTTCAAAGTCCAAATTTCTGTCTCGCTTCCTTTCCTGCTGTGAGGTGAATCACCTGTTTCAAAGTGGCCGCCAGGGTCGGAGACTGAGCTTGTGTCAGCTGAAGCAGTTTATGGTGGAAAGCCGTGGAGATGAAGCCTTTAAGTGCTGGCCAGAAGTCATTGGCATTAGTGCTCAGGCCTTGTACCAGCTCCCAGCTCAGACTCACAGCCTCCACACACAGGGCCTCTTCATCACGCACTAACTGGAATCAAATGTCACCACAACAGACGCACCATGAGGAAATCGCTTCATTGGCAGTTAGTTTATAACAAATTATTCATATAAAAACTGGAAGAAAATGACTGATATGAAATGAGCCTCACTTGCGGCAGGACTGTCTCCATAAAGGTGAATACAGGGAGCACCAAGTCACTGGGCAGGAGAGCCAGGGCCTCCACACTGCAACTCAAAGCAGCCTTGAGAGTCTCAGCTGCTTCTACAGACTCAGGAATTCCAAAAGCCTTAATCAGGAAATTCAGACAAATCCACTGGTCTCGCATAAAGTTGGCAGAGAAGCGTCCCCAGTCCTGTAGCAGATCTTGAACTTCCAGATCACTACCAAAAGAAGAAACAGGCCCATCGCTCATTACGGCAGCCGAGAACTTATATTCATCTGAATTAAAGTCTTTAGTTAGTTACTTTAGTTAAAAAAAAAATAAAAAAACGGCTTCCACTAACCAGTCTATTGTCTCTGGTTTCAGTAGACATTGATTGACATTTCCTAGAGATGTCTGACTGTGTGAGGAAGGCAGCTTTGGGCTGTAGAAGTATTCATTCAGTGATTTCAGAGCAGAAACTGTCTCTGGTTGTTTGTCAATCACTTCATGCTCCATAACACCACACACCGTGGCCAGCGACGCCATAGTAACTGCTCTAGTTACCTGGTATGCTAAAGAGGGGACCTGGCAACAACAATCAGTGAAACAATCAAAATGGTGACTGAAATCCTGCCTAATGAGAGAGACATTAAAGTTTAGGTTGGTACCTGCTGGTCTGGTTCTCGCAGGACTGTGAGCCCGTACTTAATCAGTTTAGAGAAACCACTGTGAGGAATCTTGTTGTGGTATTGTGGCATAGAGCGACACATGACAACCAGCTGCCTCAGGACATAAAGATAGAGCTCTGCTCGCTCGATATCAAACACCTGTTAAAAAAAACAGACAACATACGTGCAGATGTCAGAGTTGGCCACCAGGGGCATCTGTGTAATTGGACTGAGACTGGCCTGCTTGACTTGCTAAATACCTCCTGCAATTCCCCACACAGCCGCCTAAAGATGAACTCCTGGATGGGATCAAGAAGCCTTAAAATCGCCATCTCAGTAGATACCATCACACTGTCCCCTGTGAAACAGAGAGAGAGGTGGAATGTAATGAACATGACAGCGACGGTTCTGGACAAAATACTCAAAAAATAAAGGGATAAAATCAAACTATAAATCAATATAAATGTCCAGTGTTTCCTAATAAAGAGGTAGCAGAAGTACTGGGAAAAACAGCTTAATAATCAAAGGCAGTGATATCAAACTCATTTCCCATCGCACGCCACATACAGCCCACTTTAATCTGATATCATAAATGTCACCAATAGATGAAAGAAAAAGATAAAATATGCAGATCTCTCACCATCAAATAAACAGATGTAAAAGTGACATTTACAAGGACGTATGTTATACAATATAACACCAAATAATAATTTGGGAGGACAGGTTTAATGATTTGTTCAGTGAATTTAAAAAAAAAAATCAGATAGAACAGCTCGGACAATAATTCAGCGCTATCCTTGCAAACCTTGCTCCGCTCCGTCCTGTTGACTCCTTGGGATTTCTCCGAGCTGGAACAGTCTGAGCACCAGCTGCAGGCTCTTGTCACTCTTACGCAGAGGCAAGTAGATATTGGTGCTGACTCTGCTCAGGGTCTCCAGCAGTGGTGATAAAAGTGACTCCAGGGTGTTGCTGATCTCTGCCCCAGATTGACCCCTCTCCATGTCCACACACAGCAGAATAGCTCTGGCCAACTTATCGGCCTCCCTGGAGTCAGGTAACCTCTCGGTCTGACCTGGGAGAAGATAAAAAGCCTTAAAATATACACACACCAAACCAGCAGATACAGCGACTGTATCACTTCAGACTCACCTGTGCTAGCTGGGACTCGAAGATAGGAGACTATTTCGCCTTGAACATAAGCTCTTATGGTTTCCTTACTCGTTAAAGCACCAGTGCAATCTTCATCTGTAATCCTGGGCTTGAAACTGCCTTCATTTTCCAACAGCCAAGCACACAGCTGCAGTGATGCCCCAACATGTAGGATAATGATTAGGTAATCACAGTTTGCAATCTGAATCATGTTCCATTGTTGATACAGCGTACCTGCTTCCAAAGCTGCGTCCCTCTACACAGCGACTCGTCTGCACGGAAATGCGTCAGGAAGCTAAAAACATCATCGAGGGTAACTTCACTCTGACAAAAAAAACAAAAGACAAAAGCTCAGCTATTGGACTGAATAACTTAAGCTATAGTCTTACAGAAAATCTAGTAGAAGAGATCGATAAAAAGAGTAAATTAAAGTAAACACATCCATGTGATGCTGTCATGGCAATATAGACCAAAATATCAGATTTTTTGGTCGTAGAACAACAAAAGCTTGATCAACTCAGTACTTGGAAGATGTGCTTAATAAAGAGTCCAGTATTTTGTGTCGCACTTCTGTCTTACCACAACTGTGAGAGAGAGGGCACTGTTCAGCAGGAAGCACTGGGCAGCTCCTCTTAAGAGGACTTGATGAGTGATCATGGTGCAGCGTAGGACGTCCCTGTACAGACAAAAGACACACAATGACCACTTTATTAAGTGTCACCAGCTTCGACAGAGTATGTCTAAGTGTAACCACTGTAAGTTACCTCAGAGCAGTGAGCCCGCTGGTCCCCAGTAGTGGACATGGGGGAAGTTTGGACAGGGCCTGACAGAGGAAGAGGAGGGGAACTGCACACCAGTGTTTGGAGCCCAGCTGCTGAATCAGCTGAAGCAAGACATAACCTACAATGTGAACACAGTAGTCAGAGGTGGATTTAGCAATTTAACCATGAGCTGTGAGAGGACTTTGTTCATAAGTGTTCGCTGTGGCTTCTGTGACCCTTTACCTCTATGCTCTGTTGGCAGGCTACTGAAGAAGGTAGCCAGAAAGACTTCAAGTTTAACCCCCAGTTCGGGACAGTCTCCCACACTCTGACCAACTGACCTATATGTGGAAAGAAGCTGGGTTAATTAAGGCTAGTGCAAAGTAGAGATGGACCGATCCGATATTACGTATCGGTATCGGTCCGATACTGACCTAAATTACTGGATCGGATATCGGAGAAAAATAAAAAATGTAATCCGATCCATTAAATATCACGAAAGCACCTCACATACGCCGTAACTCACCTCAGAACGTTAGCACGTCGGAGCAGTATGCATCACGTGATAGAGCGCTGTGGCATGCGGGACCTGTCGGTGGTCTGGATAGCATTTGGAGCTTCGCTAGCAACCTGGCATTTCATCTCCGACAAAGTTATCCCCGAGAGAAGTAAAGCAAGTGTGTAAGTCCATCTCTGAATCTTTGTAAAGCATTCCTGCGTTAAGCTTAACGAGCGACTGCCTCTCGCTCTCCGGCTGCTACTTCAATCGTGAAACTGCTAATGATCAGCTGATCGGCTTTTCTGTCGCGAGTCTCTCTTGTTTGTTTTTGGTCCACTTTGCACCAGAAAGAGGAAACCAGCGGCTGAACAACAGCAGCACGTTTAAGCTTGATAAGCTGTTGTTAGAATTTATTTAATATTACTTTCTACACCAGGATCTTTTTCTACGTAGCTGACGGCTGGTAACTGTGCAGGGGCGGATCTAGCAAAGTTTAGCCAGGGGGGCCGATAGGGCATTAACAGGGAAAAGGGGGCACAAAGACATACTTTTCTTTCTTATTCTCATTTAAAATGTCTAGCTTTTAATAAATAATTATCTGACACCCAAAGTTTTAATTTGATGTAAAATGAATAGAAGTCAATTACTGTATATAGTAACTATTAAGTCTAATATATATACCCTAGTAAGCTATAGTACTTTTTCCTTTGGGAAGGTACCATCTGTGCAGTCTGCAATTTTGTTGAAGAAAGATGTTGAATCTATTTAATATTTCTTGAAAAATAATTGATTTCTGTGCATTTTTTTCACACTGCATCAAATTAAGGTTGATTACGTCGATTAAGCATCATGAGGTGGAGCGTGAGGGGTGGTTCCCTATTTTTTATTTATTTATTTTTGTTGTTGCTGGGAGTTGGAACCCTATTAGTTAGGTTGCTTAATATTTACGCTAAGTACTCTTTAAAATACCAGAATAGGGAGGATGGTGTAGGTTTAAGTTTATTAGATTGATCAGTATTGCTGAACTATGAAATATTTTTTTTGCTATACAGGTATAACAGAATAGCTTTAGTGTAGTTGTTGTTTTAAACTTGAGTATGAACTTGCAGCTGCAAAATGCAGCAAGATATTTTAAAAAAACAGTTTTGTTGATTAAAAAACACTATATCGGATTCATATCGGTATCGGCAGATATCCAAATTTATGATATCGGTATCGGACATAAAAAAGTGGTATCGTGCCATCTCTAGTGCAAAGCAGTACTTAACATAATAATCCCTGCATTACTATTACTTCCAATTGTTAATGAATGTTATATTCTCACCTGTGGAAGAGGGATGTTTCCGAGAGAACATCCATAAAGGGGCCAACGATGAACTTAAGAGCAAAGCAACAGAAGAGGAAACTTTAATGCACGCTTTTAACTTTGTACTGAATGAAAACAATCAAGAGCCAAGGAACAAATTAAGTCTACCTGAGAAAAGGCCAAAGCAAAAGTCGGCTGCTGAAGAACCCGGAGCTCGAGCAGATGACACACTCCTTCTCGCATTAAGGATTTATTCTCACTGTGGAACATGCGCTGGTACACACACAGCAGCCAGGAGGGGTGGAAGAGTCCTTGACCTGAAACATTAGAAACAAACTACCACTCTGAGATCTTTCACACTTACTTTACAGATACTTTACTTTTCAAAGAATTTAAGTGAGAAAAAACTGACCAAGGGATTTTCTACTTGACTTATGTACTTCAGAAAGAAGATATAATCAGTTCAGCCCATTTCATTCACAGAGGCCTAATAAGCTGGAAGACTCGCTACATCGAATCTACTTTTAAAAGGCTGAAATAATGTTTTTTCCTTGCCTTGATCATCATTCGCTGTTGTTTGGATCAGTGTGTCTATCCTGTTTAAAACTGGCCGGACCACGTGAATCTGCAGAGGGAGAGGAGGAACAGTAAAACAGATGTATCGAGATCCCTCCTTGGAAAAAGCAGTCAAACACTGGTGCAGGATATCCTACTTGGTTTTCCTCTAGAGTCTCCATCACCAGTACGTAATCCTCCCAGAACTCTCTGAGCAGCTTGCTCTTGCTGAAAGCCCATTTAAACAAGTTCTCATCTGCAACAGTTTAGGAAAAAAAGTTGTCTGACAAGCCATAAAATAACAGTAAACCTAAAACTGGCCTAATGTCTGCTTTCAGTGTGTGCGTGTTTTTTTTTATACCTTCCCCTGTTGCAGAAAGAGGACAGTCTAATCCATCCTCTTCAGACAGGGCTGCACACCTTTTCAGCAGGAACAGTGCTCTCTTTCTTGACACGCTGTCTCTGTGGATCAGTCCATCCTGAACCATCCTCCAGAACTGAAGGGACAGACGAGGGTCGGAGTCAGAGCAGCAGGAAGAGGGAAGGTGGTGGTGAGGTTTAAGGAGGTGGTCTGACAGGGCTGTCAAACACAGCAGAGTGCGCTCTGTAACCGCAGGAGTGCGGTTGGTGGAGTGCCAGCTGCATAGATCATCCAGGATGAGCTTGAGGATGCTTATTAACCGCTCACTGCTGAGGCAGTTCAGCAGACTTAAGATGACCCTGACTGGCTTGGAGACCAGTGCATCAGGGAGTGTCCTGATGGAAGAGAGACTAGAAGACACGGTGGTATGTGTGAGCTGTTCATCTGCTGCCAGAAACGGCAGAAGAGCAGCTACCACTTCACTCGCAACCTCCACACTGAGTCTTCCCGGAGAGGTCAGCTCTTCCTCTGACAGATGGAGTGAGGGCAGGATGGACTGACAAACTCGCCTGCACACAGCCTCGTTACAGAGAGGTACACTCACACTCAGTAGTCTGCACGCAGCTGCTGTGCTCTCCCTGCACCGCACACCTTCACCTGCTTCAGCCGAAATTCTGGAGAGGAAAGGCAGACACTTGGTCCAAAGGACCGACTCAACTTTATCTAAAACACAGCGTCTCTTTACATCTGGAAACGAGGTCGAGTCCGGCTCGATCAAAAGCGGTCCGAGTCCCTCAATGAAAGCTGTCAGCGCCTCCACCCGCTCCGTGTCTGGCCACGACTCACTCGGCCAGGAAAGAGACTCAAAAAGAAGGTCGTAGTCAGGCGAGCTGGATAACACTGCATTAATTAAAGCGGAATACATCGCGAGCGTCTGTTAAATTGCTAGGTATGAGCATAGCAAGCGAGCTGCTACCGGCTGCTACCCAGTAGCAGCACGTTTTGGTAAAACAGAACGTAAACTTCCGTAAACGTAATTCCCCAACTCTCGCGAGAAATGTGAGGCAGAAAAGAATCTAACGCTGAAAAAAAAATGCAAACTGCTCAAATTTAAATAGAAAATTAATAGTATATCGGTGACACAGTACAAAGAAGACGTTTTGGTTTATTTTAAGAGCGTAAAGAATTTATTTTCCCCATTATAAAAGAAAAAAAATAGTGCTTTCAAAAATATGACATTGACTTTATACTTGTTCATTTTACTGGCATTTAGTCAAAGTTTGTGTTTAATGACTGGGAACCTCATACAGGCTAAATACAGCAGTTCATTTGAACACAATAATAAAAAGGAAAAAAGAAAAGAGAAACAAATGCTCTTTATTCGTGGGTTACATAATACAAAAATACTGTAGCTTCATTATACATTTATTGACAACAGTGGTTCACAAATAAAAATTTTCTATAGTAATCATCACAACAGAAGGCAAACAGATTTGGAAAGCTTTGGCTGAATACACTGAGCTGTAAAGAAGTTCAATTTTCCACATCAGTAGTTACAAAGCTGTAAAAGACATGGGAGTGCACACTATACAAAAGTGTGTGTTAAAGTAATAAAAAAATGAACAAGATAAAACAAATCAACAGAGCTCAAACATGGCTATAGATAAAATGAGTAAATTTACATACAGAGAGGAATGCAAATCATGTCTTATGGCTGTCTGATGCATAAAACAACTGCATGGCTGTAAAACTTCACCATCAAAATTTTATGCCCCTGATATAAACAGATTCTGCCACTTCAGGAAATGTTTAAACAGTGTGAAATTTACAAAAGACAAACCTGATTAGGCATTTTTCAGTTTAGAAAAGCTGAAATGTAATAAAAAAGTGCAAGTAATATATATACAAAATATACAACATTAATAAATATGAACTGCTTACTACATGAAATGGTGCTGAAGTAATCCACAGCTTTTAAAAGAAGGATAATGTGTCTGCTGTTTGAAGTATACACATCCATCTTTACAGAAAAAACACATGCTGGCAACCTGTGAATTAAGTTGCATTGTACAGAAAGAAGGAGGACAGGTATACTTGTCAGCACTTGATGTGTTCAAAATATGTATTCCATGAACTGTTCATCGCCCAACATGTCCAGGGAGAGGCAGTTGGTGGACCTGCGGCCATAGAAGATGGGATTAGGCTGGCAGTGCAAGAAGGGGTAATAGCTGTGATCAACCGTGGTCTTTGTGTTTGCTGAGGCATCTGGCAGTCCAAAGGTGTAGCTGTGAGAAGAATCAAGTGGCACTGCCATCCCCAGGGGTGCAGGAGGAGGGACGAGGCGGACATCATCTAGGCTGTGGCTGTGCCGATCCACACAAACTTGCGCTTTTGATTTCAGAACCTCAAAGAGAGTTAAGAACAAAAAGTAAGCCAATGCATGAAAGAGGCCAAGGCAACAAACCAAGGAAAGAAAATATGACCTACCTCTTTTAACATATCCTTGTTATACAATTTCCCAGCATCTTTGTCACTGTGTAGAGCACAGCCTGTGTTTTCTGTGAAACACACAGCATATGATTAAAAAACTTAGCAAACAGCATGTGAGCGGAAACAAACAAACAAAAAACCCAACTGTTTGCAGGGTTTAAAATATTTATACCTGGTGAATGATTCTTTGAACAGAGTTCTCCACAATCCACTGAAACTCCTTCCAGAAGATCAGCCAGCTGGAACATCTCATCAGGATCATCTACAAGAACCTCATCTGGACTTTGGACCCTGGTCTTGATCTCTGGACAAAAGAAAATGAGCAGGGACAAAAAAAAACAACCAAAAAATTAAAAACGTTTTAGAAATTTCATAAAGGGGTGCCCATATAACTCACTGGAATATTGCCTGGGTTTGAATCTGACCCAGGTCTTTCAATGTGCATCATCTCCCCATTGTCTCTGACAGCTTTCCTGTACTCTCAACTGTCCTGTCCTCATAAAGGTCAAAAAGTACAGTGCTTAATTTTATGAGACCACCACCAAATGAAAGGTTTATACCACAGTTACCCTAAATTAACATTAATGTTTATTACCAAAATAAGTTCTCATCTTTCTGTAATGGTTAATCCACCAATGTGCACAAGCTCTTTAACTGAAATGACATTTTTAATGCTAAAATATTTCATTATCGTTATCCATGAATTTTCAAATTTATCCCTTCCCCCCAAAGCAGAAAAACAAAACAAAAGACAGTAAAGTACAATATATATTTTTTCATTCAGATGGTAATGCAATGCTAACATGTTTACTTGCATTACTGAAAAGGAAAATAGTTTTGTTTAATGTGTTGCCCAGACTTAAAGGAAATTTCATAAAAAAAATAAAATAAAAAAGGAAGAAAAAACCCCTGGAAGAAGCAAAGACCCTATATTAGATAAGACATTGTAATGCTTATTAAAACACAAATAAAGCACAAGTTTTGAAATGACAATACCATGTTGTTTACTGAGCAATATGTTTTGCATAGCCAACAGCCTAAGAATGTGCTGTTCAATTATCACAGTACTAGCAGCCACATTTCTCTTAGCACCATTGAAAGGCCTGACCAGATGGAAAAGAGACATCAATGATGCAAAACACATGCTTAGCCAGTTTTATGTATGCAAAGTCAACATTTAAATTTCACATTCTGTAGTCCTGTGATCCCACTACCAGCATGCATCTTTGAATGAAACACTGAGAATTGCACCATACTTAACAATGCTGCTAGATCAGGCTAGCAGACTGGAAGCATTAGTTTAATTTAGAAATATCTGCAGAGGGATGAACAGATCCTGTTTAAAGGTTTCATTTAAGAATGGCCTCACCTTCCTCTTGCCACCCTTCATCTTCTATTCGTGCTTTGCTGCTTGTATCAAATCCTGAGGTACAGGAGCTGCCTCGGCTGGCTGCTGAGCTGAAACACTTCTCAGCTTGCTGATGACCTTCGTCCCCCATGGAGACCATCTCTGCGCAGATGCTGTGTTGGCGAGCGTCCGCCTCAATTCCAGAGCTGCTAGTAGAGTGTCGGGAGAGACCGGGACTGCCTTCACTGCCTTGTGGATCTAAATCCAGATCATCACTGATGTAGGACTCCCTGTAATGCTGCTTCTCTAAAAATGAAAAAAATAAACAAGTTTCAGTGGTTTTTTTTTTTTTTTTTAAAAACAAACAAACAAACATCTAAACCCTCTTGTTTTCAGAAATTGATATAAATACTAAAAACCTAAGTACTAATTATTACTGTTCTATATATTATATTACTAGTACCGTAGTAGAAGCCAATAGTGACTTTATAGAAAGTTTTTGTCAGTACACACCAAACTTCAGCTATAAAATCAGAAATATAGTTATATCTAAAACACTTAAGACCCATTTAAGGCATCACAAAAATGTTTTCTAGTGGAATTGTTACAAATGTGATTACAGAACAGTTTTGTTCTTGGAACAAAGTTTAAATTTACTAACTAACGTCCAGAAGCTACTGTGACTACAAGGAGCCACCAGCCAAACTGTGCTCTGTTACTTTTTTCTTATCCTTTGACATGCTTTCCCCTCTCCTACCTTTGCTCTCCTCCAGCTGGTGTAGGTGTTTGAGGACAGGTTGAAGGCTGAGGTAGAGCTGATGGCTGTTGCTCAGGTGCAAGAGGAGGTGGCGAGAGCGGAAAGATGAACCAGTGTAGTAAACCAGCTTCCTGGCGGATGGCAAGCCATCTGGCTGGATCTCGAATTTCTTACCCTGAATGATATTAACACATTATACAAAGTGTAAAAAGCTAGCGCCCATTAAATAATTACCAGAATTCTACTTCTTCTTAACAGAGAAAATCAGCTGTATGTGCTTACCAGGAAGGTAAGACGTCCTACATTTGACCAGGGAAAGTCATATATTAGCTCAAGTATGTTGTTCACCTCCTGAGAATACATAAACACACATACACACTTCATTTACAAAACAAAAAACCCCAAAAGATTTGTGATTGTATAATCTACTTTGATGCTTTTAAAATTACAGATCAATAATCAACTGTCTTTTGGAGCCATCTGGACTCAAAAGAGGCCAAAGGCTTCTCGAGGTATGCCACGGTCTGTTGGTTTTGAAATCAGCCAGGCCTGGAGTGCTAATCCCCCCCAGATGGCCCCTGACAGACAGATCAAAGAAATGACAGTCATGGCAGGCAGCTCCTATCTCCTGATGGACTGCTGGTGGTGGCAATCCCCCCCACATTCCTCACACATCTAGTCAGAGGTTTTATAAGACTACAGATACAAAAGAGCGATTCCCTGAGCGAATTAAAATGACTTTTCGCTTACATACTGTGCACTAATAATACGCTCACACATGGACGCACCTGATAAACTTGCATTCCTCGCAGGGTCAGACCAAGCAATGCCGTTCCCCTCTCCTCCCTCTTATCCTGAAAAAACAAATGATGAGCTGTCAGAGAGGCAGTGTGTCCCAGATAACACAGCTATTTCACTGTTACGCCCTGCTCATAGTTGGCTAGAAAATATGAGTTGTTATTAGCAACAAATTGGAAGCAATAGCAGATTACGTAATGGATGGGCCAGGATGCAAAGTTTCACTCAGTGGATGAGTGCGAAGCGAAACAAAATGTGCTGGTGTTGCATTAGTTGGGGTATTTGGGTCAGAGGGAATACATATATGTGGAATAGATTCAAAATGAGCTTTGCATATGAAAGTGAGATGATTACATTGACTCATAACCTTTTGCAATCTGTAAAACGTGACAGGTACATCCTCCAATTGGCATGCCTCTTTGATGAAGTGGAACATTGCATCACGAGTAGACATGCCCCACAGCTCCTGGTGTACCTTTGGCCCATGGCAGTGGAGATATTTCACTCCACGTTTAGCTATAATCTGAAAAAGGGGGAAAAGAAAGAGAAACATTGGCTTCAGAGACATGAAAAGGTAAAAAACATTTCCTCATATTTCTGCTATGTGGTGATACCTACCCATGGGGGAAAGTACTCCTTGGGTTCAAAATAACGGGAAAGCTTTACGCCTTCCTCCAGCACTGGGTGGTCGCCAAGGTCAGCCTGCAGGGCGTAACCCGCCAGCTGGAAGTAGACCTCCTCCTGCTGACGACATTCAGAGCGTAGCACTCGCTCCCGCAAGTCAGAGTAGTAAAGATGCCGTGCCTTTCGCTCACTGGGAAAAAAACCCCACAGGCACCCAAAAACAAAAGGGAAAGGCAAAGTTGAGAGAAAGTAGGACAATGTTTAATGGGGAGAAATAAAGCAAAACAGAAGCATCCAAGAATTAAAAAGATGCATGTAGAATGTAAACAGGAAGACTTACCAAAAAAGTCTACCATTCTCTATGTAGTACTGCACTTTAAGGCACAGAATCAGAGGCAATGATCTCTTTTGCAATCCCTGTAAAAAGAAATATGTTGCAGTAGAGTTGTGTTTTGCTGACTTCACTTCAAATAAAAAGCTGTACCATACAGGCTTTTAAACGCCCAATTAAATGGTGTAGACAGTGCATCAATGCCATAAACTACAATACCTTTCCTAAATCTTGGTTCCATTCCTTAGAAAAGTACTTATTGAGCTTCTCCTCCAGGTCTAAAAATATGTGCTCATTGTCTGGTATGGAAAAAAAGGCAATCAGGAAACAAGGAGACAGTTAGTAACCAAACAAAACAGTAATGTAGCCAAGCGTAAAATTTACTCAACAATGGGATTCATTAGGGTGTGAGGAAAAGGCTTTTGTTCTTCTACTTTTCAATGGGGCTACAAGAAAAAAAAACAAAAAAACAATGCCAACATTAATGTATCCATTTTCCAACTCCAGCATCAGCAAAGCAGCACAGACCAACCACTGCTGGTAAGAGCTGTGGGATTCTTTTAAGATTGTGCAGACACTTGAAGAGACAGGTAGATACATTCAACAAACAGATTATATCGATATACACCGCTTTGGGTCTATCCTGCAAGCTCCCTGAATATAAGGCTGTGTTAATCACCAATTCATCATTGGGCCAAAAACCTGTTGCAACCCTTTTCCAAGCACCAAGATGTCGTATTAATCTCCGTGTGGTTCTATGAGTCATACCACAGGCATTTTCAATTTGACCCAACTTATCTCTTCAGTTCACCCTTGTGTAGCCAAATCATGCCATTTCACAATTTTTTCCTTAAACCACTCATCTCATTCCCACTCTGACTCACTCTCTCTCCTTTTTACCCTTTGTTTAGGCCTTTGAGTAAGAATTGAGTAATAGTCTCCCCCTACCTTTTATTCCTCCATTCCTACCCTCCTCTTCCCATCATCAATCCATCCCTCCACAGTGAAGCGGAGGAATGCAATTGTGCATTCCAGGCTTAATGAAGTTAATATTGCAGGAATCCAGGACTAAGTGATCGCTGACCCAACACCACAAAAACAAAAGGCTGCTTGTTCAAGTGGTGAGCCACACAAGCTTACCAAAGCATTTCAATCTATTTGTACAACAGAAACGCTGGAAAACAGAAAGTTTAGAACTTTGTTCAGCAGCTAAAGTGGATTACACCATTCAATTATGCAGACTGGGAGGGCAAAATTATTATTATTATTATTATTTTTTAATTTCAGTGAAATGGCTTCCTGGTAGAAGCGTTTCCCCAACATTACGTGAAGAAACAAAAAGAGTAACACTATTGTAAAACATTATTGTAACCTAAACATTAACCTCTTTAAAACCCTATATGCATCTTCTATAACTACTGTGTGATCTAGTGTGAAGAGTCCTGTCAGGTTCGCAGGCGTAAGGGGTCCAGTGGGGATTTAATTTACCTTTAACTACTGTCAGGCCAAAAAAGTGAAGCTCTTTGATTCCAAGAAGCTCTGCCACATGATTCAGAACATCCTGGCCTGTGGACTTCAGCTAGAGTAGAGCAAAGAAAAAGAAAGTCTGCAGGTTTCACAAAATACAAATCTTTATCTAACCGGGGCCATCTGTAAAGTCCTCTTACTGAGCAGATCCTCTTAAGAGCACATCCAAAAAAAAAAAAAAAAATATTAAACACTCACCCCGACAGTGATGTCCAGCTGTTCTTTGTTGGGGAGCAGAACACAAATAGTTCTCTCCTGCTTTAGTGATGTGGACATGATCTCTTGTGCAAGTTCGTGATATATGCTCTGTCTTTAACACTCAAGTCTTTGGGTATCTTTACTCTTCACTTTTATCTCTTCCAGGACAGTTCATCCATATTGCATCTAAAAAAAGATAGATAACAAAAGAGTAAGAAAAGTAAAGAAATGAAAAAAGAAAAACATGAGTAAACATGTAGTAAAGTGATCGGCATGAGTGTCTCATGACGTTTGAGAGAGAGATGGAGACGTTAGTGAGAGAGAGAGAGAGAGTATGAGTTACATTGTCTTAAAAATCATCTTCATGGAAATGTTCCACAAACGTGACAATCGTGTATGACTGAACTTGCTGATCCACTCATTTTTCGATGATCTCATAGTAACAGCTCATTCTAATTACCAGTCATTAACTGAAAGCAACCAGATAATCCTCTTGCATTTGCTCCATTCCAACAAAACGTGCTAAAAATGAATTAGAATATTGCTCATTGTGCCTTATCAAACGCTACAAATAGTCACAGTGTAGGGCACTGGACTATCAACCTGAAACATGCCCCTCTACGCTGACCCTAAGCCCCAACTGGTACGAGGCTCATCTGATTAACGTCTAAGAATCAATTAATCAGGTTAATTACTGCCGTACGCCCACTCAGATTCCCTTAAATCCTCTGAACGATAACCAGTTTAACAAGAAAAAAAAAAAAAAAGTAGATATATGCATCACTGAAGGAGGAGGAGGAGGGGGGGGGGGATCTTGTGCAAATTATCTTCAGAAAAAATGGTTTCTTATGTCATACTTCTGTCTTTTACACCCTCCTTTTTTGAGGTGTGGAAGATTGTACATTCAAAAGCACTTGATGCAATAGTGTTTATCTGTGTTAAATGACGAGAGAGAGACAAACAAAACAATTTATGAAAAAAAGAAAAAGGTGTTGTCAGTGTACAAAACAAGTTGTGGGAACTCTTGGCTTAAAACATTTGTTGTATCACATATGATTTATGGGCATGTTCAAACACAGCCCCACTGACACCTGGGTGTCAGCGCAACAGACAAAATAAACCTGAAATACCAGTAGCTCCGACATCTGACTTACTATTGACAAAGTCAAATGAAATTCTACGTTTACACTGAAAATGTAGCGTGGAAAACAAGTACAAAAACCTCATAGACGCATGTACATTATCATGCATGCAAACATGTGTTACTTTAAAAAAAATATTATGCCTTCTGGGAGTCTTGGCTTGGAGCTAATTCACAGTAAACACACCAAATCTGATCAGCCAAATGAGCTATACCACTGCAAGCAGTACAATGCTGCTGCCATTTATGTAACAGACTATAAGTGAAACAGATGCAAGATAATTAAGCAGCCTTAAGCAATAGGAAAACACAGTTCAACATTACAGCTTGCTTTTTTGTTTAAGACAATGGAAGCAGAGGCTGCAGGTCATTGCTTCACGTATGAATTTATAAGAGACATGTGACGCAATCGCTCTAACAGAAATTACGCTAATCTGAATGTTCTTGCTGTTTATTTGAGCACTGGCTCCGTTTTATAGTGCATTTTCAACAGCACATACACATAAATCATTTGGAGTCTTCATATTTCATAAACATATGGTTGAAATAAGAAACAGGTGAGCAGCTACCAAAATCAAGTTAAACCATACAAATGTGACCCATTTTATCTACATAACCTACACTGCATCCTGTCAACAAAACACATTTACCATCAACCCCAAACGGTGCCACTTGAAGTCTTCAGACATCCCCCATGTTGCTGACCAATGCGGAACCTGGCATCCCATGTGAGCAACCATCTGTATGCTTTAATTCCCCTCCAAGATTGTTATAATCCCTGCGTATACTGCTGGCTGGTGGAAAAACAACATCCCCTGTGCAGTAAGCAAGCTTTCTGAAGGAGCAGGGATACTCACTGCCCGCTAAAACCACAACGCAGGGGGGGTGAGGACCCCCTTTACACGCATCCCACTTTATGAGTAGCAGTTTGGTGGGACTAGTATATATTTCTTATGACTGAAAAAGTTCTCTTTTTCCCATAAAAAGCATAACAAAGTTCACCAACTGCTCGCTGATAATGGCATTAAAAGTTGCATCAGAAGGGTCCTCAACGCTCTCCAGGCAACTTAAAGTAGCTAGCAGTCGTTTAAATATAAACCTTGAGATGATTACACATATTTATGAGTTAGCTACAAATCAGTACAAGGCAAAAGTAGCTGACAACAAACAATTTATACCATTTACGTCTATATTTCCCTCAGAGAAAACGTGCTTTCGGCCCGATAGAGTTTTAACGCGCAACAAGTGCATCACTAATAAGTCTGACTTTTCTTTTAGCTACTTAGGTAAAAGCGCTAAATTACTTACAATCACAGTATAAGAGATGATAGAGTTCAACTTTCAGTCGCACGGCTTCTCAAAACACATTTCTTCTGTAACCCACTTAAAAACATGACCGACGCAAGAAGCCCAAACTGCGGTTCACCTCCCTACCCATTGCGTGTTGTAGCTTCTTGAGGGCTTTGCAAAACCATCCCAAGCCTGGAACGTTTGAGCCAAACCATTTTGGATAGTTGTGGGGGTGCACAGTTGTAATCGAAATGTTTGTAAAACTTTAACTTCATATTTGATGAATATGCGAAATCTTGTCACGTTTATATTTTCTAGATAAACAAGTTTCTATACCCATATGAATCTATAACATTCCTACAGCGGGTTGCGGTTGGATACTGTTGACTAGACGGGGCAGACCCCCCTCAATTTATGTTAGTGTAGTAAGACGTGCTAATTAGAGGTCCCAAGCACCGTCTTTGAAAACAGGAGCTGCACGACCTGTATATAAAACTTTGTGCAAGCCTAGGTGTTAAAACGGTTCAAATACCTTTCGTTTCTGACGTGTACTTCCACTGTTTCCTGCGAAATTAATATGTTGAGCATTAGGTGCGCCCAGAAATCACGTGACGTGAATGTGCACCATCCCGGTTAGTGAGCCGCGTTGAGTATACCCAGGGTTTTTAAATGGGGCCCTATTTAATCAGACTGAATAGCTGATTTTACGGTTCAGGAAACTGCGGACTCAAATTAAATTCTGTTTAAATGATTAGAATCTACTTAACACCACTTATAACGGGTATGATACATTTTGTCTGAGACTTTCATTTTTGTGGAATAAAACTACTCTAGGAATAACAACTTGATAATAACAAAAATAACAATTGAACTCCATTAGCAAAAATTCACAACACGCCTAAACCTTCTGGGATAGTGCAAAAACCCTGCTCTCACGTCTTAAGAACAGGAGGCATTAATATTGTCACTTGTAAGTTTCAGATCAAGGCACACAACCTGTGGATCAAAACACTACACAAGAACCTCCTCTATAGACACGTCAAACTGCGATGACACCGCCATCTGCAGGCTAATTGCTGGCACTGCATTGAATACGATCAATGAACACAATCGAAAAAGAACAAGTTGCACATGAAGGTTAAAATTCAAATAATATGCTACACAACCCTACTCTTAATCAAATTTAGCAGATAAGGATGTATTACTTACTGATTGACATTTCAGAGATTTTGCCTACATGCACCAAATGCTTAGGAGTGACAACGCTCCCAATTCCTGAAATGAACTCCAGAAAAAAAAGACAAGTCGTATACATACTTCATAGTATGCATATTTAATGTTACATTATGATGATATATAAACAACTGTCCAAGAAACATTTCTCAGTTTCAACCAACATTTCCAGTTTAAACATAAATAATCACCAAATGATTAACCAAGTGCTTTCGATAAAAGGTTCATATTACCAACACGTGCTTTTCCTGAATCATGATCATTGCTTAAAACCCCGTAATCAAATGTCATGTTGTCGGCAAAGCTTTACGCTCCCAACGCCAGGCTGGGCAAATGTGCAGAATGCTGTAACTGTTAGAGACAGCATAAAGATTTCAACCAAAGCCAAGGCTGAGAAACAATCCTATTTCAAATGCAATCTTTGCCATTAAAAATGATGGAAAATTGTTGATAAAAAAAGTAACTTGTACAAATGACCATTTTCAGTACAAAAGCTTGTAAAATGTAGTTGTGGTGCAAATCAATGCAGTGTCTCTTAAATTTGGTGGAAAAAAAATCATTTGCAATGGTGAGGACAGTACGTGCAGAATTGACTTGGGTCAGCTCACCAAAACAGCCATTTCTTTTTTGTAGCAGCTACATTTCCAGTTCAGCATCTAAAATTAACTGAATAACTTGGAGTAAAATAATGTTTTAAGTAAAAACAAAGCACATAAATAACACTGAAAATATAGCATATGAGGAGGGGAAATAATTTAACCACCCCTCCAAAGAAAAAAGAAAAAAGGAAGTAGTAGAAAAATAAAAATAACAATATCCATAACCACTGATTCCAACATCATCAGACAGAAACCACAATTTTCCTTATATGAATGATAATTAAAAAAAGTTATATGCATTTAAAAACAAAGAGATAATCCAGATACTATAATCAGAATAAAATTTAGCTGCGTTGAGGTATACGCTCCACATTCCTCTTGTCCAGCCAAATGTCTGAATCTGTCGCAGTTCTACTGAAAGAACTTGAGGCCCGCAACAAGGAAGAACTTCTCCAGGAAGATCTCAGAGTCGAGGACGGCGATGTGAGCAGCCCGGCCGATAAGGGAGTTGGCTGTGTTGGGCAGGGCGTGAATGACATCATATCGCACTAGATTGCAGTCTTTGTTCTGAAGCACTGGCAGCAGCAAGTTTTCAATCATCTCAGCGTACACAGGACCTGGTGTAAGAAAGACCAAAGAGGTTGGTTATAGTCATTTACTTTTAAAAAGACAGGAGAATCATAGTGTAGAATCATACACTGCTCAAAAAAACCCAGAAAAACAACAACAACAACAACAACGACAAAAAAAAAAGAAAAACAAACCACCCGGAACTTTTCAGATCACAATGGGGAAAAAAATCTTTCTGATATCTA